TAAGATAAATTAAACATTTTCTGAGTCCACAATCAGGCACAGAAATCTTAAGAATGCGTAGTTTTGCATTGATATGTTATCAACAATATAGCAGCTAGAACTTTATGCTGTTAATAAAATGTAAACAGTGTTTTGAATCTTACACTACACTCAACCATGTGGTGGTGTTACGTAACATTAAACGACAAGAAATAAGTTAAACTTTGATAACGGTAATTGGTAATTTATAAATACATAAGCTAAATAAATAATTTTGAGTGAACCTATTTATTAAACGATACAAATGAAGTTTACCTTTGATAACTGTAGAAATGGCAAAAAAGTAAATTGTATGGTTTACGGACATCCATGTTAGAAGTGGGTTTTGGTTCAGTGATCTGAAAAAAGATTAATTGAGGTGTCGATGAAGCAGAAAAACTGTCATGTTGGATAGTTAAGGAGCGTCCATCCGTAAAAGTTTGATAGACTTTTAAAATAGTAGTTGGTGCTTTGCCCAAAAAATGATATATCTTTAGGAAAAGAGAGAAAAAAAACTGCACAATGTTTTATTTATCAGACTACAAGAATTTTAATTTTTACAATCGAAAATCGGATGAACAATATAGATCAAAAAGTCATCATGTTCGCTATCCAAAATTAAATTCATTGTTCAAATATTTGTGCGAGTTATTCGATGAGTATTGTAAGTTTGGTTCTCTACATGGACTCCGATATATCAGAGACCCATCTCTTCCGAGGATAGAACAATTTTTTTGGCTTGGAATATTCCTAACATGTCTTTACATTAGCGGAATTGTTGTGAAAAACACATACTTGACAGGAATGACCAATGAATTTCAACTGGTATACAACCCGAAGATAACACCTATTTGGGATATTCCATTTCCTGCGGTAATAGTGTGTTCTTCTTCACCTGTAAGGAAGTCGTTTTTTGATTTAGAAAAGCAGAAAGATGCAAAATTCACATTCTTTAGCAAAATGGTTTGCTTAAATCCATCTCATTTCGCATCAGGAATTTACAATAGTAGTATTGATGAAGAGTTTTTTGAATTCTTAAGTGATGCAGCAACACCTTGCAAGGACATGATTGTCAACTGTTATTGGAAATCAGAGAAAATAGATTGCTGTACTTTATTCAAACCTATAATTACTATGATGGGACAATGCTATATCTTCAACAGTTTGCCCGGAGAAATAATGTATCCATTCTACAATCCTCCACCTGGTGAACAATATAATTTTTACGACAACTTGAAATTTTGGGATGTCGATAACGGCTACCCTAAAAGAGTTAGAGGACATATTGAAAAAGTTTATCCGTTGTGGACTGATGTTGAAGGACCCCTGATGGGGTTAACTATGGATCTCGTTTACCCCAAGGAGGAATTTCAGTTTCAATGCTCTGCAACCCACACTGGGTTCAGAGTTTATGTCTACCCACCAGACAAGAGTCTAGAAACTGAAACATTTATCAGGGTCCCTCTCAATGTACACTCTAATATAAAACTATACCCTACCCAGGTCCGCACTGAAAATTCCCTTAGATCATTGACTATCGATGAGAGGGATTGTGCATTTTTAGACGAGGTACAACTAGAATACTTCAACTTTTACACTCGGTCTTCTTGCATTGTGGAGTGCTTCACCAAAATGTCACTCCAATTATGTGGCTGCGTACCTTTTACATCCAACAGGATAGTGGGGACCCTCGACTATCCCTACTGCAACGACTTATCACTTCACTGTTTATATAAAGTAAGAGATGAATTAGGGATGATTCCATTAAAAGGAAAATCAACACACTTAAATGTAACTGAAAGTTGTTTATGTCCCTTCGGTTGTTCTTGGATAAGTTTTGATTCCCAAACTAACTTTCAAAGACTGACAAACCAGAACTCGTTATTTCCTTGGACAGGTCTCAACAACAACACTGGAAGTAACATTGCTCGAGTGTCAGTTTATTACGGAATCGGTCAGTTCAATACAATAGATCGTCAAAAAACATCAAATATTGACATTACTCTCAGTAACTGTGGAGGACTTCTAGGATTGTTACTTGGATTTAGTTTAATGAGTCTTTATGAAGTACTGTACTATGCTATAGTTCGACCTATTAGAAAAGTTACTGGAATTTTTCTTGCAAATATATGTGAACGGTAGGTCTACTCATTGGTGTACTTTGACTAAGAAACAGGAATTTAGAAAAAGGCTTTGATAAGACTATGTGTAAAATTCTCTGAAGTTAGACTTAGTTTCTTTTTAAGGAACTTGAAACCAATTCTTGAATCATATTTTTTAAGAAGACAAGTTAAATTATTAGAGGATGGCTAACTAATATAATTTTTTTTGGATATTAAAGTATTGTTATAAAATTAAAGGTTATGGAAAAATTACTGAAAACTGTACATTTAAGATTCCCATGTTAATCTTATGAAAAGAAAGATAACTGTTGTAATTTGCTTGTTTATGGTTATAGGGCTATGTTGATCAAATTTTTAAAATTACGTAGTCTGCAGGTTTGCTACATGTAAATCAAATAAATTTCGATGCAAAAATAAACGTTACATAAAATGCTTTCTATTATGTCTGAAGGAATATGGTCAGATTTATTCACTATTTAAAAGAGTAACATTATAGATTTAACGAGTATTTAGGTTTGCTACTGTACAAGGAAGCAGAGTGTTTTTAATGACAAAAAAATGTTTATAATGTGGTATAGAAGTTTAAAGCATCACAAAATCATACAAATTTATTAAATTTAATTCAATTTCATCACGTAATTTTGAAATAAAGTCCTAATAAACTAAACCGGCTGCACCTAACTTTACGTCCTACACTCATTCGAATGAAAATATCGATCGATATATTCATTATTCGATATCGATTAATCTATATCAAATAATCGTATTTACGATTATTTTCAATTGATTTTTAATATCGTTTTAAATTATATATCAGCTGCAACTATGATCAGTTAAGTTAGTTTATCTCAACTTTGTCAAAAAACCAGACAAAAACCAAACTACAAATTATAGCCTCATTCATGATACTAAACGTAGTTAAAATATTCCTACTATTGAAAAAATATTTATCTTTACTACTTGATCAATCTAGTGTTAGTTTCACGAATGAGAAACTCGTGGTTAGTGATGTTTATACTGAACAAGTACATTAATGTCAAAATATTTACAAATCCAAAGTGAGAATTTTCAAAAAAGGTGTTTTTCAATGCATTTATAGAAAGTGAGTGTGGTTTAGATAATTTCTGAAATCTAAAATTTACCTGATTTTCACCTCGTATTCTAACTTTCATATCTTCGTTACAGATGTCACATTTAGGCGTACCGGTATCAGGTACTAATCCTTGATCTTGCATCCATTTGAAACAATTTTCAGGATTGCATCAAATACTCTGACTAAATTCTCGATAATTCATGGCGAAGTTCTTTAAAAATGACTTATACAAACAAAAATAATGAAATAAACAAATACCCCCGCCGCAGCAAACCTGCCGACTAAGCGAATTTCCATTTGTCTGAATTGATTTTCAGTTAAATATATTTTACTAACATTAGGTTTAACGAGTACCTAGGTTTGCTGCTACAAGGAAACTAATAAAGTGTGTTTTTGAGTAAAATATTGATAGCTTAGTACAAAATAAATAAATTTTCCAAGTTTGATCAAAATATATCCATAAACAAGCAAACTACAACATTTGACAATATTCTCCATAAAAATAACATGGGAATTTTAAATTTACAATTTTTTTATTTTCTCCGTTACTAATAATTGAACAAAAATACTTTTATACACTAAATTATTTGTTTTTTTAAGCTCTTTAAAAAGGTCTAAAGAGAAATCGGGAAATTTTGTGTTTTAAGGGTCAAAAGTGAGAAAAACCAATTTTTACCCCATAAAACCCCCCGTAAAGCCCCGTTCCCATGGTCCGATCGTGCTGGTTCGCGAACTCATTCAAGTTTATCCCGCTTTACACCTTTAAACCAAATTTCATCAAAATCGGACAAAAATTACTCAAGTTATCGCGTTCACGGACATATATATATACATATATAAAAATTTGAACGAATGGTGTTTTTGGCCTCTGGGGACATCAAAATGAAAAAGTAAATCGGTCCCGGGTCTAGGTCTTACCGTGCCACCTACGGTAATAGCTACTTCCCTATAGGAAAATTCGCTAAAAACCAATGCAATAATTGATGTATAGAATACCGTAATCGAAATAGTGAGTAACCATAATATCGATATCAAATAACCGATATATCGATCGATATTTTCATTCGAATGAGTGTATGACGTAAAGTACAGCCACTAAACCTGCTTACACTAAACCGTGTATAGTCATCAGTCATGCGACACAGAAATAGCAGGCAATTTTATCGTACGATCATCCAAATAGAAGATTGGATGGTTGAAAATCAAAGAATCGAGACTCAACTATATATAGTAGGCTATTAAAATTGCTAAATATAGTCAGTCAGTACTTTTAACTCCTGAAATGATCAATTATTCAAAACAAAATTAAAATATGTTAAGCTATGAAATCTAAGTTTAAAGTTTCAGTTATTACATACAGAAGACAAATTTTAAAGTACCTAAAGTACCTCATTCCAGCAAAAGATAGATTTTTCAGTAAACAGCTCTAGCAATGTTTCAGTTGCAATTGCAAATACCAAAACATAAACTACAGTTCACAATTACTAGAAAAATACCGGTATGGATCATAAACATAAACAAATTACGTTGTTGGCCCGAATCCTATACTAATAGCATTGAACATATGTTTTGGCAGTTCCATTTAAGCAATGTTAAATAATGTTTATTTTCGGGCCAAAAACGTCACTTGTTTATGTTTATGATCCATACCGGTATTTTTCTAGTAATCGTGCTACAGTACCGTTTTGAAAGTTTTAGAACATAGCTAGGGTGAAAAGATTTCAGAACAATTATTGTTAATAAAAGGAAGAACAAGAACAACTCAATCTGTAGAAAATAACTGCTATAAGTTTATTTAAAATATGTAATCTCTGAAATAATAGTAAATACAAATATAACACATTTTTACACAGTTTTTGTTCAATATGTCATGGTTTTAAGAGAGCAGCAGTTAAAACTAATTATTCAGGCTATCGAACTACCAATAGTAAAAATTAACAGTTTAATAGCCTACACACTCTATTATCACTTAAAAATATAATCTAGCTATTTAACACATGTTTCTTTGTTACATCATTTAATTACTTTTATTTTTTACTAAGGCATATAAAGTGTAAGCTATTTAAAATAGTCAAAATACTAGACTTAGACAATATACAATGGACAAATCTTTATGGTTTGAATGGCACAATGATTTTTATTTTTGAAAAGATCAAGAGTTAGTAACAAAAGAGTAGTTCTATGTGTATATTTCTGGATTGTACGTTAAAAATAATATACTTAAGCCAATCTTTAAATGTGAATCCCATGATACTTGTCTGCAACTAAAACACTTTTGACAATTTATCATAACATTCTTGAAATCTATCTCATTAGAATTGCATTATCTTACAAGCTAATTTATCAGAAAATCTACAAAAAAAAAAATAATGAAACAGTCAGTCTGGTAAAATGGATGACTTTCAAACCTTTAAATTTCTAAAATAAGTTTATGTATGTGCTATTAAATGTATCAATATCAAAAATACAAAATTATGCTACTTGTTCGGTTTCGAACTTTTGGACTAAAATTATTCACCAAGAAATCCTAATAACAATGAATGTATACATTTTTGAAACTCTTCGGTACCAGGAACTAACAAGATAATAGTGTAAAATAATTTATTCTAGCATGGTAGTTTTTTTTTTTTTTTGAAGTTCTTTACTTCTATGTCTCTAATACAAAACTATGTACATAATCAGGCACTTCAAAATGTAGTGTAGAGAATTCATGAAAATATAAAAAAGTTCAGTTCAGTTTACACTGAAACCCAGATAGTTTTCTTTCATTTCTAAGCTAAGTTAAACTATAAATCCAAGTTTATATTTAGAATTTGTGCCACATAGCCACAACAAAGTTATATTATTCAAATCACAGAACCATTGTAAACGTTTCACAATAATTATAAGAGAGCTTTATATGACATAAAAAAGTGAGTCTTTAAGATAAAGTGAGTGTTAACCGTAAAAATACTGTTATAAGGTGTACCTGCCCTTAATCACTGTTGTTTAACACTTGATTAGGCCGTTATTGCATTAAAATCTATATTTGAAAGTACTGATACATCCAAATATCAAATTACGAAATAAAATTCAAAGGAGTATAAACATGATATATAAAGAGAGCAACTTATCACTTGATGAAAGCCTAGTGTTTGGACCGCTTGGCGTGGCCTTCGATGGATATAATACACTTTTCTTGCGTATTCTCCTGAACATAGTTGCTGCTGCGTTTGCGAGTAGGGGAGTCGGCGGGCGACTTTTGTTTTAAAATTTCCACATCATTCAAAATCACCTGAGCTCCGCCACTGCAAGTGGGAATAACATCACCCTGCAAAAAACAGGATTAATGAATTAAGTCTTAAGGTGGTTTACATTCAGCATTTGCTGCATACTGAGAAGCTACTCATTGAATCATAACTAGAGTGTATGGGTGTTTCGTCTACTTGTCATTTGACAAACACCAGTGTCGGTGTTTTCCACAAAAGAAACAAACACACTGCTCTGAAGGTGAGGATGTGTGGGCACCTCTAAGTTGCAAGTAAGTAAACACCAACCCAAGTAGCTCGCCTCTAGTTAAATGTTCTGCGCTCAGCGAATGCCGCTTTTATGGACCTGCCTTTAAGGTACTAGTATTCTAATTTCGGTGTATAGTATAACGTTTTGTCTTTATTCATCCAGAGAGGACTCTTTCCCATTCAGATAAGCCTGCTTTCCTCACAAAAAATCTTATAACTCTTTAGTCAGGTAGCTTACCTCAATTTATCTTGACAGGGTATATTGGAAGCTTGTCTTTCTATGACAGTTATACTTTCAAGATCATTTCCTGACACCCTATGACAGAAAAGATTTAATGTTAACCAATAGCAATATCTCCTGTACCTTGTAAAAGCAGGTCTCCAGATCCCCGTCACTGTCCTGCTCCTGTGTCATCAGACAATACTTCTCCTTGTTGTTGAGATCACTAGGGTCAGTCAGACGTGTAATACTCCTGCGGCGAGGCAGGTGAGGTTGCAGTACAGTGTTGAGAGATACAGGAGCACGAGGTCTGTGTTCCAGCCACCTATCCTCTCCTACTGATCTGGACCTGGAAGCAACCATAGTTTCAAGTACAGTACATGTATTATCAGATATCATTATGAATGGACGGGATTGTACTTTGAGATTGAGACAGGTTTTTATTTCCTTCCTGACTTTTAAGGGAGGAACAGGACAGGATTTTCCACTTGTGATCGCGACAAAATTTCAGACACTTAGAACAGATCACGCAAGGAAAAAATCCTGAATTAAACGTAACTCCATCCAATGTCGCGTTCAAAATTTCAGGACCCGTTCATCTCTAGTACTACAACACATAAAAAATTATATAACACTTTACATCAAAATCAACTCAATTAATATTAAGGAAACAAAACTCATATAAATATTGAATTATTAGTTTTCTAATATTCAAGGTTATGGAGACAATTCGTTTCAAAGATTATCACAGCATATATTCTGCGAATCTTCAATCTTTTTGTACCTAACAATTGAATAGTGAAAAAATCTCAAATTTGATTTTGAAACAGCTTACAATAAATTTTAGAATACCAAAATGTGTTCTTAGAAATTACATAACAAATATTGTAAAAATCAATGTTTTCTGATAGGCTACTTACTTTCAAATAACCCAAAAACTATATTCTAAAACAAAATTTTTGATGGTGGGTACATTATTTTATGAGTTTAAATTTTCAGCAACACTGTTTTCACAAAAATCATTCAACCATAAGAGTAATAAATAGTTTGCTAAACATCCATGTCCTGCATTTGCAATAATAGTGTAAGCATACCCAAAAAACTTAACATTATTTATGATCTAAAAATCATTAAAAAGGAACTAAAACTTCTTAACATCTTTATTCAGACTCCATTTCATTTACTGCCTTGAACAAACGCATGCGTTATGATTGCAAGGACAAACAGTGAGTGTAACTAAATATGAGATTCAGTAGCTAAGCTACCTCTGATTGCCTGACCTAGGCTAGAGTGAGACTAACCTGCGGAAGCGTGGGTTGCTGACTGCTGGTGTTCTGGTGTGAGTCGCAGGAGCTGGAGTGTTGTACATAGCAGCCTGTAAAATACATATCACTAGAATAAACATACACAGAATAAATATATCTACATTATTAAAATAATTTGTTGGATTTTTGTATTCCACAAATTGACCCCTAAATATTTAATGTTAGGCATATTGGGTACCAATTTAAAGCTCATCTTATCCTCTAGATGTGCCTTTTGTGGGTTTGGATGATATCCCATCCAAGCCCTTTGTTGTATAGGCTTTTAAAATTTCAGAGTTTGTGTCGACTTCTGTTGTCAATCATGTGAACTTTTTGAAGTTTACATCATAACAGATGGCCATGATACAAATTTATTTACATCCATGCGAAAATGTGGTTATCGTTACAGTTGGTGATGTTTTAGTGAATTCAAGTAAAATATTGTAATGTTTTGTATGATGTAGCCTAAAGAAGAAAATTATTTACGTTAGATGTTGTGTTTTGATGGGATTTGCAATAGAATATTGTAAATTAATTCAAATATATCACAGATTTTACAGGCTGCTAGTATAAATTATAACAATTAAATTTAGTCCGTGCAATTCAAACATTTAAAATTATGTTTCATATCCATAAGTTTATACAAGGTGAGGCAGACCACCCGTACACAATGTATGCTGCCAAACCAATTGAGGTAGATTGTTCGTAACAACTTAAACCCCCCAAGTTTTACCCTGTAGAATTTGGAGAAAATATTTTGAAATCTCCCAAACGCACCGAAAGGGTTAGTTAAAAAAAATGTATGTGTTTTTTATTCTTAATATTCACTTCTATTCTTCCTCTATGACCGTGCCAATTTAAAGAAAAAACTCCTTTTGAAGAAATTAAAATGAGGTGAAATTTATTATAAACTACTTAGTCCTCGTTTTATCCTATTTTCTACTTAAAAAATTATATTTTCCACTACATCTTAACATTAAATTGCATAAATAGTAGCTTTCGTTACTAGTCCCTAAAGTAGGTTTTTTTTGGACCGATATCGTGTTAAACAAAATTCTATTATTTTAGGACGAGTTACGAACAATATTTTTCATTACATTGTCATATATTATAGCAAAAAATACAAAATATAGCCAAAAGTGTTTGATTAAAAAGTAACGTTTACTTTAAGGCCTTTTCACACCGGCGTGTTTGCAGTCAGACAAGTAACACTGTCTGAGCACGTGGCTTTGAAGTGTTCACATGCGCATGCGCGAGCCCATGTACGCCACGTACGTTTTAGAAAAATCGCTCTCCGAGCGATTCACAAAGAGACCATCGTGTACGTACTGGACGTTCAGTACGTTCTGTATGCGCGGTGTGAATGAGCTCATATGATAACATGACTCAAAACGATCCGTAAGACAGCTGTTTTTGAGACAGTGTAATGAAAAAAGGTTTTTTACTAAGCCTGATTAACTTATTGTTGTGTATTTACTTAATTCATGAGAATAAAGTTCGGCTCAGAAAAAGCTCGAGGCTCCAGCTCTATTCAAAAGCTTGGCTTGATTGAAAATCTCAGGCTCTTCTAAAAGCAAGGCATAATTTACAATCCAGACATTTCTACACAATTTACTTAGACCTAACTTAGTGGAAATGTGAAAGGTTAACTTACTCAAAAAGATTTACAAAGTTTTACTACATCACACACTAACTGGAAAATAAAGAGAGCCACAGATCAGCTTAAAAACCCTAGGTAAACACAAAATATAAACTTTAAACGTGGACTTATATTGGTTGAAATCCTCACATTGTCTTTCACAAAACTGAATCATCCAAGATAGGAAAAACTTAATGAACTTTTTGGTAGACATTTTTTTGTTTGACGTACCCGTTTGCGGACTGTGACACTGGAAGGGGTGGTGATACAGTCAGTAGTAGACGGTGTCCGTATATTGTATGCACTGGGAGTGTCCAGTGACCGAGGAGTGGGAGTGTTCAAATACTCGTCTGACAAGATACGTTTCACCTGCTGCAACTTACGATCCTTGTTCTTAATCTCCATCTGTAAAGGTGAGTCAGAGTTTGACTTTGTTTCGATGTCTCTCATCTCAATACAAGATCACATTTTCTCCACATTCCCCAGCAGCAAAACTGGTCTTCTCAGTCACCAAGTATACCATTTACTAGGGATCTGCAGGTCCTCCATATTTTCGGGTCTGATCGTGTCAAAAATGATTATCGAGACAAGTGAGGTGGAGTGGAGCAGAATTCATAAAAAAGCCTACAACTGTATGAATGACCGTTAATGTAATAATTTGCATATTATATATTCAAAATACACGATTAGTAGACTATTGGGCAGGCAGTTATGATATATTAATTCAAATATATGATATGATAACTCCCTCAGCTCAGTAGTCTATTATATTATTAAAGTGATACAATAAAATTTTATGTAAACAGTTAACGTCATTTACCAAATAAAAATATAGGCATATGGCACATCAAAATGAAGCTAAGAGTGTGTAGATTTGCCGAAAAGAATTGATATGGACGAATTTCCTAAGGGCTCTGCCCCACAGGCTGATTTCCAAAGGGCTATGCCTGGCATGCTTCCAATTTTCAAATGGTTTAATTTAATTTGAATAATGAAACAGCTGGTCAGTACAATGAACTGTTGTTTGTTTATTTACTCTAAAAATATGTTTGTGGCGCTTCATGTAGATTGAGGAGGGTTATGTTTGGTTTTAAAGTGAGGTTGTATACGTTTTGTAAAGTATTGCACGTCAAAGTTTCTTTTTTTAAATTTATATAGTAAGCTACATGTGAAGAAGCTGGACTAAAATTGAAGAATTATGGTAAAACATGTCATTCATAAAGCATCAATATGAAGCAATTGATGCTATTTCTACACTAAGGTATGTTGTCATATTCTTATGGATCTATTTACTTCAAAAGTAGGGGCTTGAAAGTAAGTAGGTTTACGCTTTTAAATCAGTTTGTTTATATTTTCAAACAAAATCATAGAGTTGCTGTATTTTAAAACACACATCAGCACCACTTTAATAGCTCTCTAGATCACATTTTCTGCCGTTCTGTAACGTTGCAAAGCACGGATATAGCAGCTTGTAAAAATTATAATGTTTAAAATCACAGCTTACTCAAACTTTTACTCTGAAAACAAAAAAAGTTACTAAACACTGTACAGCAAAATATATCACATAAAGAACAGATGAATAGAAGTTCTTGTACCTGCTGCTATTCATTGGCTACTGCTACATGCTGTTTAGAAGAATGTCAATAAAAACATTAGATAACTCATAAAAACGTATAAAACCATAGTACTGTACTTAATGATAATAATAACAGTCATAAAAAAAGATAAAGATATCAATTTCATAAAAACATCGCTTATTCTTACTTCTTATTAAAAGAGATTATTATTCGTGCTTCTTATTGAAAAAGAGGCCGCCAACCTCTTAAAAAAAAAAAAGATAGCAATTACATAAAAACATCGCTTATTCTTTCTCTTGGGCTATTCTCTCTTGGGTTTCTCTTCATACACACATTCAACAAGTTGTCATGGTTACTAATCACCCAATCACAAACTGTTGTGACATAGCAAGCGCATAGCAGACTATTGTCAGTGGAAGCGGATAGCTTGACTATGAAGCTATCAAGGTAAGAAGCCCACCTAGTTCCCTTCTTACCTCCATCTTCCTCTTATGATCTGTCAGTTTCTTGTCCATTTGCTGGTTTAGTTTCTCAGCAGTCTGTGCGATCTTGGACTGATACCTCTGTTTTTCTCTCTCCCTATCCTGTAGTCGTCTGTTAAGAGCAGCATCTTTTTCGTGAAGCTGGTTGTTAAAAATCATGCAATGGTGGTTAGTCAAGCGAACGGACAAAGATTGGAAATATTTTAAACTATTAAGATGAAAGCAGAAGTTAAACTCACCTGCAGTTAATATTTGTCAATTTGTATGTGTTAGGACCACATGTGCACTTACAAATTTTCATTTTGCTTGTGTGTATTTGTATTATTGCTTGATGATGAGAAATGGTAGAAAATTATTTTCTTCAATTTTCATGACCGAAGCTTGCACTTACAAAATGATAGATGTGGATACTATAAAGCTGAAGTTGGATATTAGAACTGTAACCTTTGACTATTGATACAACTAGCATTCAATCCCCATGTTTATACCACCATGTCACCAATCATCGTAGTTGATGTGAGCCACCGACAAATTGCTCAGATCTAAATTAGGCCTACTATTTTTTGTCGAATACACAAAACTTACGGAATGACTTATTGTGAGCTATAGCAACTGTTATGAATGTACTACATTCTGTAACTGGTTTACACAACTATGTTCTTTTTTAATACAAAAATGGCCAAAGCTGGTCCATATAAATGGGATGTCTACTTCAGTAACCAATAGTCAATGCTGTAACTTATATTTTATGTCAGTAGAAAAAAATAAAAATACCAAGTTATATTCGCCCAGAAAAAGTTAATTTTGGTTTTCTTTTAGTAAAATTGTCAGTTTTTAGTATTTGAACTTTTAAAAGTTTAATAAAAATGTAAAGGACTCACATCCTCTTGCAATCTCTTGATGACCCTCTCATAACCAGAGTTTTGTTTCTTCAGTGATGCAAGTTCAACCTCCTTCTTGTCAAGTTGTGATTCCAGATTGGCAATCTGTAACCAAAAAAGTACTCTAAGTTTTTAGTTGGCTCCAACCAAGAAAAATGCTTTTATTTAATAGGCTATTTGGAATGTTATATACCTCAAGTGTAAAAACCTTTTTAACAAATTGCTCTTTCGTAAGCTAACTATTAATTGTAAGAACACAACTTGAATTTATTTAAATAATGGTTTGTATCACTTGGTATGCCGAGTGATCCTCATTTATTAATACACACTTAGTTTCAGACTTCTACAGTATTTCATCAGCTGTCACAGAAATTTCAAATGAATGTGTAATCTAGCGCATGTAGGCAGAGCTGTTAAAATCAGTAAAATAACACACAATTTAAAAATCCCTATACAAACCTTAAACTATAAAAGCCCCAGAAGATGAGTCATGATACGTGAGGACTAAAATCATACATATCAGGTAATATAAGAAAATAGTTAATATATAGCAATATTTTCGATTATAGAGTATAGAGTGATACTGAGACAAATTTATCATTAAATAAAACAAAACCATAGTAAACATTCATAAACAACATGAAAAAAACTGTTAAGTTCTAACAACTATTTAGGCAATCTCACCTTTTCTTTGTAAGTTCCAACTTCCGAGGAGAGTAAACTGCTTTTATGTGTTAGTATTAGTAACTCCTCCTCACTCTTCATCAGAACATCACGGAATTCCTTTTCTGCAAACAATTCAATGAAAATAAAATTTTTTCTAATGATACAGACTAGTGATGGTCGGATTTGGATATCGGACTACCGGATCAGCCAGATCCGAGCTAGAACCGACACCGGATCGGATCCAAAAAATTCCGGATCTTGGGCTGGATCCGGTTTTGATGGATCCGATTTTTTCCAATTTTCCCCGATTTTTTTACTAACACGAAGCTGTCTGTATCCATGTAAAAGACCGATTTTTTACTCAATGTCACAGTGCTGTATATTACGACGTCAATAACCTCTATAGTTAGGCAATGTCACAGTACTGTATATTACGACGCCAATAACCTCTATGTTGTGCAATGTCACAGTACTGTATATTACGACATCAATAACCTGTATGGCTGGGCAATGTCACAGTACTGTATATTACGACGTCAATAACCTGTATGGCTGGGCAATGTCACAGTACTGTATATTACGACGTCAATAACCTCTATGGTTGTGCAATGTCACAGTACTGTATATTACGACGTCAATAACCTCTATAGTTAGGCAATGTCACAGTACTGTATATTACGACGCCAATAACCTCTATGTTGTGCAATGTCACAGTACTGTATATTACGACATCAATAACCTGTATGGCTGGGCAATGTCACAGTACTGTATATTACGACGTCAATAACCTGTATGGCTGGGCAATGTCACAGTACTGTATATTACGACGTCAATAACCTCTATGGTTGTGCAATGTCACAGTACTGTATATTACGACGTCAATAACCTCTATGGTTAGGAAATTTCACAGTACTATATATTACGACGCCAATAACCTCTATGGTTGTGCAATGTCACAGTACTGTATATTACGAGGTCAATTTTAACCTCTATAGTTGGTCAATGTCACAGTACTGTATATTACGTACGACGTCAATAACCTGTATGGCTGGGCAATGTCACAGTACTGTATATTACGACGCCAATAACCTCTATGGTTGTGCAATGTCACAGTACTGTATATTACGACGCCAATTGCCTAACCATACAGGTTATTGACGTCGTAATATACAGTACTGTGACATTGCCCAACTAATATTATCAACTAATAGTCAACTAATTTTAAGATTTGGAAAAGTTTTAGTGTCCCCAAAAAATTAGGGATTATGGGCTCAACTGGAGACTCTATATATAAGACATATTAACCTTTAAACATTACCAATTTAATTTTAAACAGTATGATTTAAATTGGCATTCTGTTAATTACGTTTTTTTAACAAGTCCTTATGACAGTGGTTATCTGGATCCGGATCCGGTACCGACATTTTCTTGGATCCACCCATCACTAATACAGACGCTATTCTAATGCAAGTTTATGACCTAGCCACTCAAAAATTCGATGTTAAAAACTCATTTTGATTTAAAACGTTGAAAAGCAGCCGAGAATGGTGATAAAATACTGTCAAAAGGGGATGTACAAGATAACAGTCAGTTGGACTCCTACCTTGCTTTCTATGGCAAACAGAGATACTGCAACTGCAAGTAATATATTTTAAATCCTGAAATACATAGAAGAGTGGAATTACAACCCGGTTTAATGCAGTTTGCAGAAACTATAGGATCTACCTAATACCCCCGCCGCAGCAAACCTGCAGACTAAGCGTATTTAAACTTGTCTGATTAAATTTTTACGGAAAGTAAATAAAAGAAACGTCTTATAACACTTAAATTAAGTGTTATAAGACGTTTCTTTTATTTACTTTCCGTAAATTTAATAAAACGTACAATGCTGATCAAGAAGTTATTTAAATTTTTACTAAAATATTTCCATAAATAAGACATAAGTATTCCCTATTTAAATAGCATTATATTTAACGAGTGCTTAGGTTTGCTGCTACGGGAAGGTAAAAAGTGTTTTTTTGACCATACGTCAATAGTATAGTATGAAATAAATAAATTTGCCAAATTTTATCAATATATATCCATAAACAAGTAAACTACAACAATTTTCATTTTCTCCATAAGAATAACATGGGAATTTTAAATTACACTATTTTTAATTTTTTCCGTGACTGTTAGGCATACAACAGCCCCTAAATATACTAAATTATTTCTTTTTTTAAGCTCTATAAACTGGTTTGAAGATAAATTGCAAAATTTTTTGTTTTTTATGGTCAAAAATGGGAAAACCCCATTTTTACCCCATAAAACCCCATTCCCATGGTCCGATTATGCTGGATCTCAAACTCGTTCGAATAAATGTAGGTTTACATGTTTGCACCAAATTTCATCAAAATCGGATCATTTTTGCTCGAGTTATCGCGCTAACGGACACATATATATGAATTTGAACGGATGGTGTTTTGGCCTATAGGGACGTCAAAATAAAAAATTAAATCGTTCCTGGGTCCAGGTCTTACCATGAGTACTACGGTAATATCTTATTCCCTATATGGGAAATTCGCTAAAAACAAAAAAGTTGTGTAGGTGTAATCAAATACTCAACAGTCACAGTACTTTGGAAATGAATGTACTTAAGCTTGCTCCTAAGCCAAGGTCCTTTAAAGGACCCTGAGTAATTCACACAACAAACAACTAACGTATTGTCCTAGTCCTAGCAAAGGACTTTTTGAAAAATCATTATGAAAAAGTGAGAATGAAGAATTCTTTCATCAATATAATTTCTGAAAACATCCTAGACACTAGGACCAAATAAGAGGTTAAGGGTGTAACAAAGAGCAAGGGCATAGGTTTTTAGGATATTTTGAGAGGATAGCAGGCTTACCTGAATGGGAAAGAGTTCAAAGTGGCACATCAAACACAAAACTTTACACTATACACACAACCAAAATTATCAGAATATTCTGATGTTTGATTACTGAATTATAATATTTCACTGTCACTGACAGCATTTTCAACTAAGGAAGAGAGAGTTTTCTTTAGGTCTAATATCCTTAGTATTGTCAAGAGTGACCATTGTGTGTATTATACCCATGGACTCTATTTCTCAGGCGGATTAGATAAATTCATTAGATTAATTGGCCATTTTTTCTTAAAATGACCTCAAGTTCGCTACTAAATTAGTGGTACTCTATACTGTAACATCTGACCACACAAGTACTAAATAAGAATATATCTAACACAATACCTTTGGCTTTAAGTTCGACGTCCATCTTTTTATTTCTTGCTATTTCAACTTCCAGGAATGTCATCAGGTTCTTTAACAGTCTGTCATCCTCGGGCCCCATCAGGCAGAGGTCAGGGAACTGGGAGGCTAGGCTAACAACAACAGCGCATGCAAATAGAGTTACAACAGAACCACTAGCTATGCCTGATTTGAGAACTACGAGCTCACTCAAATAGTAGAAAACATAATTATATACAGCTACGATAGAAGGCAAAATTCGGGTTTTGTTACTATTTCTAAGAATATCAGAAAACAATTTCTCATGTAGTAAAAAAACTTGTTTTTTCAGTTATACTTTTGGTTTCTTTCAAATAAACTCATTTAGTAGTTAGCATAGCCATCATCATACATCAAGAAAGCAAAAAGTAGTAGGCTTATGTTACAATTTAGCGTGAAAAAAAAAACAATATAGAATAAGGACAGCTTAACATATATGATCATGGTTATTTGTTATTAATTTCTTATGGATTACAATATTAGATGAGCAGACAAACCTGTAGACAGCATTGACACCAACATCAATTGGAATGTTCTCATTGTTGACTTCATTCAGATTAGCCATTGCACGTTTAAAAATCTGAAACAAAAACATTGTAGTGTATATTGTATTTTATTGCCATAATTCCTGACAAGATAACTTCACAAAAGACGTCTGTGCTATAAAGATATAAAGCGCACGCAATGTACCTGGTTTGCCCTTCGTCGGCCAGCTGGCAAGTTGTCAATATTTCGCAGAGGTGTCGGTTTGACCACTTGCACTTCCTGGCTCATCTCAGAGAACTTCATCACGTGAATGTTCTCGTCATAGTCGTCTGATCTAGGGTTGACACACACGATGACACGTACGATGCACTCCCCGTCAAAGAAGTTCTTGAACAGATGAGTCAGCTTGGAGTCTCTGTATGGTACCAGCTTGTTTGTGCCATTGGCTTGGTTCTCTCGTAAAATCTCCAGGCAAGTGCGTAGAGTCATCAGGGAGTTGTTAATGTTCCCTGAAACAAGCAACAATTACTCAGCTTGTTTTGAAATACATAACAATTTAAATATTTAAAATAACTAGAAGTCATGATTTGCATCTTCAATGAATAAATACAAATTCAATTCTAAGTCAAGATAGATAATTGAATTGATGCAACAGCAAGACAAATCTGAATTTTCAAATACAATAAAATGAAATGTGTGAATTTTCAATTCTCACTTAACAAATAGAACAAAAAGAACGTGTGTGTCTCCTCGCGTTTTCAATTCAGTGCAACCTCCGCCAGGTTAAAGACGTCAACACAAACTGTTGAAAATAGTCTCACTACTAGGACTTACCATGACTACGGTAACCTTCTTTCTTGGGGGAATTCTTTTTAGGAAATTCGCTAAAAAACTTAATCAGCCAAACCTATTATTTTTTAAATATGACTTTTTCAAAAATCAAAGTGTCTATAAATCTAGATTCCCAAAGGAAAAATCTTGACCCTTTTTATTTAGGGATGTGAAGGTTTTAGCGAATTTCCCTAGGGAAGTAGCTATTACAGTAGGTATCAGCCTACACAAGATTTAAAATTAATCAAAACCAAAATGGTGGTATCCACTACTTACCAGATGTGTTGGCGGATGTGTAACTATTATATGCAACAGATGTAAAGATTTAAATGTAGGGATGGACGAGATTGGATTTTTAGTTCGAGACGAGACGAGACGAGATTTTTTATTTCTCATAAACTTTCGAGACGAGATCGAGACGGCATTTCCCTTCTCATACACAACGGGAAATGCACGTTCAAAATTTTTACCTGATTTTGTAACATTGTTAGATGACTGTTTAAATACAAAAATAATGATAATAGGCAAGAATATTTACAATCTTTTATTAAAAAACATCAGCATAAATTTTTTTTATTAATCACGCCTAACTTATTAAAAATGCCTACGATTAGGAAACATAGTGATATCAGTTAGGATAGAGTTCAACTTATCCTAAAATAAAATAAATCATAAAATAAAAGCAATATTAATTTTTATAAAATAGTTAGGTACTTGTTTTGACTTTTTATAGTAATAAACATTCCTCACACTGCTTACATTTAACAAAACTTCTCAAATGTAATTAAAGTAATATTATTAAAATAATTAAAGTAATATTTACATTTAAAGAATTAATTAAATAAGAACGCCTCCGCAAAGGAAACGCAACTACAACACGCTCCTCTATTGCGGGTATTGCATTGACTTTCTGAAGGCGTTTAAATTTTTTTTTATTTATTTATTTTTTTTTATTCTCGTCTCGATAAAAATCTGGGCCAAAAAGAAATCTCGTCTCGTGTAACGAGATTTAAAATTTCCCGAAAATTTCCCGAAATTTCAAGACTTGACCATCCCTATTTAAATGTTTCTATTTTGTGTCCTCTTCCCATTGCAAAGCGCGGGTACAATAGCTAGTATATATATATATATATATGTGTGTGTTCGTGAACGCGATAACTTAAGTAATTTTTGTCCGATTTTGGTTTAAAGGTGTAAGAGGGGGTAAACTTGAATGAGTCCACGAACCAGATGATCGGACCATGGGAACGGGGTTTTATGGGGTAAAAATTGGTTTTTCACATTTTTGACCCTCAAAACACAAAGTTTCGCAATTTCTCTCTAGTCCTTTTTTACGGTAATTGGTAACAGGGAAAATTCAAAATTTTAAATTTAAAACTCCCATGTTATTCTTATGGAGAATGTTGTAAAATGTTGTAGTTTGCTTGTTAATAGAAATATTTTGATCAAACTTGCAAAATTTATTTATTTTACTAAGCTATTAATATTTTTAAAACACACTGTATTAGTTTCAGTTTCCTTGTAGCAGCAAACCTAGGTTATCGTTTAACCTAATTTTATCCAAACAGATTTAATTAAAAAACATTGAGAGAAATGGAAATTTGCTTAGTCGTCAGACGGTTTGCTGCGGTGGGGGTATTGGGAAAGGATTAAGGAGTATTTTTATAAATAACTACTGGGGAAACAGAAGAGGGAGACCAAGAACCACATGGAGACGTACTGTGGAGAAGGAGTTACAGAGTCAGGGCATGACATAGGCTAGGGCAAAGGAGCTGGCCAACCAAAGGGACCGCTGAAGAGTGTTCGTCGAGGCACTATGCTCCCCCTAGGAGCACAAGTTAAGTCCCCCTAGGAAATAAGTCAAGTTTATACCTAACTCACTTAAGCCTATTGGTGGATATCACTTACCAGCCTCCCTGAGCCGCTGCCCCGTGGTGTTTGTTCGGTTCATGCGCTCACTGCCGGCCAGGTCCACAAAGGACAGCTGACTGACACTGATCCTACGCTTGTCCTGCATCACAGTCTCCCCACAAGCGTCCAGCGGCGCCTGGACCACCCGCACAGTGAACACTGAGTGACTGCGGCTAGACTCGGCATTCAGCGTGTTGTGCGCCATTCGCCGCCGGCGTAAACCCTTGTTAAACACCTGCAGACAGTATAAAAACGTGTTAGGGGCTTATAGTGGTAATCTGAAGGCCCCAAGCAGCATTGACTCTTGACCCAGACGTCATTTATCATTGGGCTATAAATTAATGACGTTGTCTAAAAAAAGTTCAACATTAGATGGTACAGAGACCAGGGTTTGGACCGTCCTATTACACATAAAAATGCCAATGGTGTAGATAAACAGTGGTATATGGACACTGTGTTGCAGCATAGGAATCAAACTTTTTCTTTATGCTTTATCTTGTCAAACACTTTTGATATTATGATTGTATATAAGTGAAGGTAGTATCTAAAGCTGTGGCTGTATCAACAATTCATTTTATCTGCCCAATAAAAAAATATCTATCTTTGAATGTATTAAAAGTGATATTTATTTACAAAGAATATACTAGTTCTACTAAAAGGAAAATCTAGATGACTTTTCAGTAATATTTTAAAGTAAAGAAATCCATGCTAGTGAGAAGTTATCTTTTAGATTAGGGGTTTTTATTTATTTGAAAAATCAATGGCTGTTATGTTGTTCAATAAAGTTATGAGAGTGTAAAATGCAGAAGTTTATATTATTTTTAAATGATTTGTGAAAAATATAAACTATGTAGTTTTCCATGGTGCTTATAATTTTGGGAAATGAAAAATTAGCTGTTTCTAATTATTTAATTTTTATGACTGCGATTAAATCCGTGACTAGCTTTGTAATATAAATCAGAGATTTCCACAAACCCCTGATAGAATCAGTGAGTTTGAGATTTCATTGACTTTTGAGTAAAATTAGCGACGTCCGACATCTAGACCCCCTAATAAATCAATGAGGCTTAGCTATATATATAGCTAAGCTATATATATAGCTATATATATAAGCTAAGCTATATATATATAGCTATATATATATAAGCTATATATATAGCTATATACCTAACACATAGTGGATCATAAGTTACCTCAAAAGCATCGTCTGTGCTCTTCACCTCAACTTCTGTGACCCCGTGAACATACATGTTCTTGGCTCCGTCTTCTCGGACCAACTTGCTCTGTGGACCTCTGCGAAACACATTGAAGGTTATTTAACCCCTTACAAATACATTGACAAAGCCATCCACTATATTCACACACATCATTCAAGGAGTAGTGTCACTACTCAAAAAATATGACACTACTCCTTGAATGATGTGTGTGAATATAGTGGATACGTTGTTTTTCGGATATTCATTGCCCGGTTTGTCTTTGGATTGTCTTATTGTGTAGAAACTTTAAATAATCAAAAATAAAATTAGAACTAACCACGATTATTTAGCATTGATTGTGTATATTAAATGATAGGGACCAGGGGAAATATACAAACTTTTGTCATGATTTGAATTTTAACATCAAAATACAATATTGCACAATCATGATATTTTAGGTCATTGACCTTTATCATGCATCCGTTATTGCTGTTTCAGAAGAGAAGCTCGTTGATAAATTTTAATTTGATATTCCCGTATACTTTCTCTTTGTTCTTCTATTTCTTGGGTTTCTCTTCATCACGCATTCAACAAGTTGCCTAGTTGCCATGGTTACTAATCACCCATGTCGTTATCAGCTTTTGTGACATAGGCACAGGAGGGGGTAAAACTTGACAAAAATCGGTTAATATTTACCTATTATTTAATAACCAATGTACTTTATTGGTACTGTATTAATAAATTGGCCGATTTTTGTCAAATTTTACACCAAATTTGTTGAAATTTCAAGGTTAATATCAATAAAACAATTATTACCAAACATTTTTATTCATTTAAAAGATTGATTTGTGGTATTGGGTTCCCGACTGAGTGCAGCTGAGCGGCACTAATGAGGGTTGAACCGTCTTGGGGGTGGACAATAGACGGCCTATCAGACCCTCCCCTCCCCAGTGGTCTGGAGAAAAAGCTTGTAAAAAAACTAGGGATGGTCAAGTCTCGAAATTTCGGGAAATTTTCGGGAAATTTTAAATCTCGTTACACGAGACAAGATTTCTTTTTGGCTGAGATTTTTATCGAGACGAGAATAAAAAAAAAAAAAAATTAAAAACGCCTGCAGAAAGTCAATGCAATACCCGCAATACAGGAGCGTGTTGTAGTTGCGTTTCCTTTGTGAAGGCGTTCTTATTTAATTAATTCTATAAATGTAAATATTACTTTAATTATTTTAATAATATTACTTTAATAACATTTGAGAAGTTTTGTTAAGTGTAAGCAGTATGAGGAATGTTTTATATACTATAAAAAGTCAAAACAAGTAACTATTTTATAAAAATTAATATTGCTTTTATTTTATGATTTATTTTATTTTAGGATAAGTTGAACTCTATCCTAACTGATATCACTATGTTTCCTAATCGTAGGCATTTTTAATAAGTTAGGCGTGATTAATAAAAAAAATGTTATTCTAATGTTAAAAGATTGTAAATATTCTTGCCTATTATCATTATTTTTGTATTTAAACAGTCATCTAACAATGTTACAAAATCAGGTAAAAATTTTGAACATGCATTTCCCGTTGTGTATGAGAAGGGAAATCCCGTCTTGATCTCGTCTCGAAATTTTATGAGAAATAAAAAATCTCGTCTCGTCTCGTCTCGAACTAAAAATTCAATCTCGTCCATCCCAAAAAAAAACTATTGCACAAGCGTGACTTGATTGGGCTACTTCAACTTTAATTTTTTCAAATTAAATGTGATGTTTCAAAATCAAAAACAATAATTTGGGACCATACTGCATAACAATAATGGACTGCATTAATTGTTGAATATACAATCCATTTTTAACAAACTAAGATTATACTATTCAAATACAATTTTAAAAATTATCTTGGTATTTTACTTAGGGTAATGAAGTTATGTAGGCTAGTGTAATTCTCGGTTCATCAAGGTTCTACTGTATTATGTTTGGCAGTGTATAAGTGTAGAATGTAATTTATAAATTCAGGGATACACACCTTTTATAGAGTTATAAAGCCTAATTGCCCTAATTAAGCCACAACATCAAATATAGAGCCCAGCTTAGTGCATTAGTGATGTTTTATAAACTTGGCAAACCCTATAATGCCACTTAAGGCCAATAATTCATTCCAAAAACGTAAGGAAATACAATGTGAAAATAAACTTGAGATAGAACTCCTTGTCTTGTGAGAACCAGGAAACAACATAAAAAATAACCTCAAGTAAACAAGCCCAAACGTTTTGACATCAGTCCTGCTGAGCTAAAGTGTTGTGTGAAGATTTCGGCCGCTAGTGTACTTAATTCAAGCAACCAACTTTTGAAAATAGATGTTGTGAATTGTGATTTTCAAGAGAGAAAAAACTGTGGACGTGGCTAATTTGAAATTCTATGATGCAAAATCGTCATTTTAGTTTATTGACACAAATTTACAGTGTTTTATAGGTTAAAAATGCATATGCAGCTTATTATTAACCGCGCCGAACTATCCGAATCTGAAAATATCCGAACCGAGCCTCAACTATGGGATCTGAAATGAAATTTCACTATCCGCACACCTCTATAAATATCTTTGTATTTACATTCAATTTTGTCTTTCAAAACTACAAAATTTTATCCTTAGATTAGTATCTAAAAGGAGCTTCCGTACAGCCAGGCCACATACCCTATTAATTTCAAATCAGAAAAGTGTCCATTCCTGAGGGGTTATTATAAAGAATATAATGACTGTATATTAAATTCAACTATCCCCAAGCTCCAACAATTGTCATTAGGCTAAAGAGAGTCTGTCAACTTTGCTACACACCTGCCCCTAGAGAGTTCTTCAAAGTTCTCATCTAAAAGATCAAATACAGAATTGTTGTAGATCTCGATGTAAGTTACAAACACAGCGTACATGTTGTCTTCATGAACATCTTCTATTTTAACCTCCTCTGCAATCCTATTGGCCCAATCACTCTCCTGTCTGAAACAGAAACAAGAGAAAGTATTAAAACACAACTTGTTAGAAACCAGTGGCTAGGTGACAAACAGGAATTTAAATTTAAAATGCAGCTTAATTATTGTGTTTATTTTATTTTTTTAGCAAACTTCATTCATAGGGAATATTAACGAATTTTCCAAATTGGGAATTAACGAATTCCTCATATACGGAATAAACTATGACTGTGGGTCTCATGGTAAGACCAGGACCCAAGATCTATTTACTTTTTTCATTTTGATGTCCCCAAAGGCCAAAACACCATCTGTTGAAATTCATGTGTGTCCATTCATAACTCAAGCAGAAATCATGCGATTTTGATGAAATTTGGTACAAACGGCATCTTCTAATAACATGCACACAAGCACAAGCAACTGTGTTCACACTGGGCTTACACACTAGGTCGCCCAAATGCTGGCGATTGGGCGTGTAAAATAGCCGCTGAGTCAACTTTTTCCAGAGCTTTTTAAAAGCAGCTTTTGGGCGTGTATGTCATTCATACTGAGCTATTTTATGAGTGGTGGAATGGCCTCTGGATCGTCTGAATTAACTATATAGTGGTTTAAATTACCTTGTTACTGTCAAAACGATCCTTTGTAGTTAGTAAGACTACAGCTGTTTCGTGCTGCGAATGGAGCACATCATCAGGTCAGAAGAATGTCAAGTAGTCTTCATATTCCTCGCAGTGGAGTTCGTCAAAAGTTTAATAATAAATAGAGAACAAAACACATAACACACGGAAACACGAAACATTTAATACTGGTCGATCAGACGACGGTAACAACACACGTGATACGGCGCCGGTTGAGGGTGAGTCGCGACTCACCCTCAACCGGCGCCGTATCACGTGTGTTGTTACCGTCGTCTGATCGACCAGTATTAAATGTTTCGTGTTTCCGTGTGTTATGTGTTTTGTTCTCTATTTATTATTAAACTTTTGACGAACTCCACTGCGAGGAATATGAAGACTACTTGACATTCTTCTGACCTGATGATGTGCTCCATTCGCAGCACGAAACAGCTGTAGTCTTACTAACTACAAAGGATCGTTTTGACAGTAACAAGGTAATTTAAACCACTATATAGTATTTTATGAGCTACGTGTAAAAAAGCCGGCGTGTAGTTTGTAAACTCGCCCCCCGCCCCGTGTGAATGGGGCTTTACGGCAAAAGCTACTTCCCTATAGGGAAATTTGCTAAAAGGATTTCACAACTTAAAATACCTAAGGATGACTAGCTTTCTTTTCTGATCCAAAAGGTTTGCCAGCCATTGTGGCTTTATTTCCTGTCACTGAAAACGATTAAATTTCACTTTCAAACTTTTAGAAACACATTGAAGCACATTGATTGTTGGCCTACACATTACAAATAAGTAAATAAACCAGTCTATTAAACTTTGTTTCACAAACGGTCTCTCATATACTAACAAAATTACAACTAACACAAGTCTACAAAGCGTTACACAAGTGAAAAACCAGCTTGCCATGTTTACAGAAGTATGTTTACATTTCATATAGTGAACAGTGAGCACTAATTCCTGGCGCAGCGCTGGGGGTATGGATAACAGTTTGTTCTAACTACACCTGACACTAGGAAAATGTGCTCAACCAATTGAGCCTAACAGCTGTTCTGCCTTCTGCCTGCGCAAGGGCAATAGCTTCAATTGCTACTGCGCATATTTTTGTTTGGTTTTTCACTTGCGCAACGGACTTGCAAACTACCATACCTATGAAATTTCCTTGGGGTTTTACAAGTCAAAACTTGAGAGTGAATTTCGTTGATGCCGTCCATTTTTGCATCATCATCACTTTGAACTTCAAAACCATTGAGTCTGTCAGGTTTGAACACACACTTCTTGGCTTGTAGATGGCCAATGCTGTTGAATATTGCATCCAATGCCCTGGGCATGATACCTGATTCTCTTGGTGTTCCAGTCATGGTGTATGTTTTGCCACTGCCTAGAAAATATATATTTACTGTAGATTCTTTGTAAAATACTTTAACTAGATTTTTTTTTTTATAAATTTGATTGGTTCTATGCAATCTTAACAACGTGTAGTTTGTCACTACTGCAGTTTCGTGCTCGTGGAGCACATCATCAGGTGAAGGTCGAAAAGTTAAAACATTTTCCTCACGTGAAGGTCGTCAATTTTTGAAAACACACCGAAAAACACATAACACACGAACGGTACGAAAAAAAACATTTATAAACATGGCCAATACATTAAAAACGTTACACACGGGGTCCGGCGCCGGTAGAAGACAAGTCATGACTGACGTGTGCCGTAGTCGGTAGCCCCTCCATCCTCACTTCTCTTATCAGAACCTTTTCTTTAGTCCAGGATGTGAATGGCGGTATTATAAATAATGTTAGACTGGAATGAGAGTTGTTCGTTTAAAATATGGTTTGGATGTACTTTAGCTGCTCGGTAAATCTCAAATTCCTCGATGGTGTCCATATATTTACTTTTATGACAAGTATGCATTACTTCTAAATTTGTTTGTATGTCGGTATAACTATGGTTTGAATCAATGATATGGTTGGCAAAAGCTGATTTGGAGTTCTTTCTAGGTAAATGTTCCTTAAATCTAGTTGCAAAAGAGCGTGATGTTTGCCCAATATAAAAACTGGGGCAATCATTACATGTTATCTTATACACTCCAGTGTTGTTTAATTTGTCGCTATTGTCAGTTTGTCTTTCTTTTAAATTACTGGACAGTTTGTTTGTGGTTTTGTAAGCAACTGTGATATTGTTTTTTGCCAATTCTTTTTTGAGAACATTATTAAGTACAATGCCATATTCCGCACTAACTTATTTTTTGGGTTCTTTTGTATGTATCTGATTATCCTTTTTCTTGTTTCTTTGTTTCCTAATCAGTTTGTCGATCAGGGCACTCTCATATCCGTTAGATACTGCGATGTATTTTAATATGTCCACTTCATTGTTGTAATTTTCTGGGCTTAGTGATATGGCAAGCAGTCTATGGACGTAGCTATTGTAGGCAGATAATTTATAATTATGGGGATGATGTGAAGTTGAATGAATTGTCTGGTCAGTGGTTGTAGGTTTCCGATAAATTTTAAAATCTAACCTGTTGTCTGCTCTTGTGATGGTAACGTCTAGGAAATTTAATGTCTTATTTTTCTCAATTTCAACTGTAAATGTCAAGTTTTTGTGAAAAGTATTAAAGTATGTGCTGAGTAGCTTAATCTGCCTTTCATTGCCCTGGAATACAATAAATGTATCGTCTACGTGTCTGCTGTAATGGATGATTTTGCTCTTATAGCGATTTAAATCGGAGAATAGAAACTTGTTTTCAATTTTATTCAAAAACAGTTCTGACAGAACACTGGAAAGAGGCGATTCCATTGTCAGTCCCTCGTTTTGTTTGTAATACTTGTTATCAAACATCACACATCAGTCATGACTTGTCTTCTACCGGCACCGGACCCCGTGTGTAACGTTTTTAATGTATTGGCCATGTTTATTTTAAGTTTTTAAGTTTTTTTCGTACCGTTCGTGTGTTATGTGTTTTTCGGTGTGTTTTCAAAAATTGACGACCTTCACGTGAGGAAAATGTTTTAACTTTTTGACCTTCACCTGATGATGTGCTCCACGAGCACGAAACTGCAGTAGTGACAAACTACACGCAAGGACCATATTGACAGAGGTAAATTAAACCATTATTAAATAGAATTGATTGAAAATCAAATCCGGCAGATGGAAATTCACTTAGTCTGCAAATTTGCTGCGGCGGGGGTATTTTTTAAACTTATTTGTGTATCTATTATAGAAGTAAAAGTTTTTCTTCTAAGTTATCGATTGCTTTTTTTAAAGTAATTTGGAACAGCGGAAATTCCTTCCCCATTGCAACTTGCAGATAATTTTCTCGGATTACATACTGTACCAGGATGATCACAACTTCTGCTTTATGATAATTCCAGTTTTTCAAAAAAAGTTAACCCAACAAATTAATTGTGTTGTGTTCATTTTCGGAACATTTAACTGGATTTTGGACAAACTTTGAACTGTGATAAATATTAATTATTATTGAACGAATATTTCACAGTAAAAAACTTAACTTTGCATAGGCCAATGTGCTCTTTCTAATGAAACTTCTATGCTCTAGCCTACAAAATCACATATCCCCAAATCTTACGTTTCATAAAAAAAAAAAAAAAAAAAAAAAAAACACAGCTGAAATCAAATCCATGTGTCATTTTTACACCACCCTTTACTAACCTAACTTAGATAATGAACACTGGATCAAAATTGAACTTCATAGAAAAATGGTTGAACAAATTTTGCCACTTTGACACTAACTTACCGTACCTAAACTTAACAAAACTATTAGGTATGTCTACTTCAATCGTTTTTGCAAAAACTAAAGATATTGAGGTTTATTGTACAGTATTTTAAAACATACAAGCTATAACTCAATCATAGGTAGACACATTTACCGTACAAAAAATTAGGTACACCATATATCATAAGTTTATGATTCTATATCCACAAAAATCAATGCACAGTCTCAAATGTTAAGAAGACCCCACTCACAATGCTATAGCTAAGTTTTGTACCATGACTTAAGTGACGTAACAAAAAATTAAAACTCAACCTACCAGTAATTCCATAAGTGAACAACAGTCCATTTTTACCATGTAAGACCCCATCGACCAAAGGAAGAGCAACATTGTTAAAAACTGTCATTTGAGAGGCATCGCTATCAAAAACATAGCTAAAAGTGTGCTGTGTTTCTTTGACATATCCATTTTGATAGTTGACAGCATTTTCAGGGGGTGACATCTGGACTGTTGACGGTGATACAACTTTGAGGCAAGGCACCTCATTGTCATTCAGCGGTCGCAAGCGGCAATACACCTGGATTGGTTCTTTAACGGTCGGCATTTTTAGTTTACGTTATTTACCTGAAAAACAAACAAAGTTAGGATCCTAAAATCATAAATCTTAACCATAAACTCAGTTCCTGTTGAGCAACATAAACAGTGATCACAATTTGAGTGTGGTAAAAAAGTTAAACAACTCATCAAGTAACATTAGTACAATTTAGTAGTTTTGTCAAATCTAGCATAAAGCTCTTTTGTACTGCAATTATCTGTGTGTTTTAACCAATGTCTAGAACAAGGTTTCCAGCTCCCCTTAAGAAATCAAAGGTAGTGCCTGTACACAATAAAGGGACTTGGGATAAGCCTGGGAGCTTAAGGCCAATCTCTTTGGTTCCAATTAAGTTATCTCTAATATCTTTGAATTGAATCCCTGATTAAAAAACAGCAGTACATTAATACTTTTCATGGAAATGGCGACCATACAAAGTAGGTATTTTAAGGCAAGTATGAATGGAGATGAGTGTAGGATGAGTGACGCGATTTTGTAGTCTTGTTAGTGACTAAGGCTGACATATTCCTTAGACACAGCTGTAAAATTAATAGCCCGTACAGCTAATGGCAACTAAGGGACCTACAGTTTATAGTGGAATCTGAACCACATTTTTGCCTTGGTATTAACAATTTGGTCTAATTATCAGGAAAGTACTGCGGATAGTCGTTGTACTCACAAGTGCAGATGTTAATCCACACCAGGGAGTATCGCATCCACAGTGCATGCCTATAAATATATCCACAATTCGTGACCTCCTAGTAGCTTGATTACAGGATGACGCCCCACTCAGTCAGTACAGGTACACTTATCTTGAATACAACAGTCTGCTCTCTGTCTTTCAGTAAGTTACGGTTTTCGGACTGGCCTATCAACCGAGGATGCAGTTGACGCTATGGTAAGCTGCGTTTTGGGTTCCTTTGAATAGAAATAATGTCTTGATGGAGGCCCTCTGTGCGACCTCAGTAAGGCATTTGACACTGTGGACTGTGACGTGTTGCTGTTTCACGTGTTGACAATGGGGAACATCACGGTGTCAGAGACGTTCGACTGGAGCTTTTTCCGTCGTACTTGGGGGGGGGGGGGGATCATCCTTATTGTCTATCAATGGCCTGATCCCGCTGCCTCGTCTGGTTGTCCATGGTGTTTAGCAGCTCCATGGTGTCCATCCTTGGGCCCCTGCTATTTTCTATCATGATGAACGACCTCGACCATCAGATGGACACATGGTCATTTGCTATGCAGATGACACTGCTCTCGTACATTCTTCTAAATCTTGAGGAAGCCATCCTTGGAGCAACTCCTCTGTCTGGTTCCAGGCCAATTTTTTGTCCTTAAATGCCTCAAAAACTCAATCCATTATTTTCAGCTTAAAACAATGATCGGTGAGAAAAGATAAGAAGGCGACGTCATTGACCATTAGACCTACGCATAACCACGGTAGTCTAGACTTTACATCCGGCTGGTACGCGTCGCTCACCTTCTCAGTAATTTTGTGTGTGTTTTTTAAATGTTAAACCTAGTGGTCAGTGTTCAATGTTCGTAGTACGTGTTTATTCGTTTTTTAAAAACTATGGCGACCTTCAAATGAAGTGATAATTTCTTGGAAGCCTGAAGATGACTCCACAGAGTTGATAGGCTACCGGTTGCAACATAAGCAATGATTTATATAGCTTAAATGCAGGTATCTTTAAACCATTTAAAAAATTAAAATTCTGCTAAGCTCTTTGGTATCACACAAGTTAACATGGGGCACTCACATTGCACCTGTCTGCTGTAAATTGTCTAGGGGCATTTTTTTACTAAGGAATCTCAAAGTATGTGTTAAGTAGTAAAAAAATACCTACAGAGGGCCTAGCTTTTTCATGGTACCTTTTTCTATGATCTTAGACATGAAAAATTACTTTGGAATTCAAAGAACTAAGTTAGGTAATATACTCTTGGTTAACTTAATGCAATGCTGACTATGATGCAGATTGGAAACAATTTTTTGCAAATAAAGGTATAATGTTGGTACACTTTTTATACGTCTTTGTTTCCTTCTTTTTTGTTAAGAAAGGTCTGGAATACTTTTAAAGAAGAGGTGATTAATCATGCTCACAATACCAGGTACTGAGGATAAAAAAGATACCGGTACCCCATTTGTAAGATTAGGTCACAACTTAACTCTGATCAACTGAGATTAAAACTTTTAAATCACATTGTTTGTTCAGCCTGGACCCAGAGTTTTTCCAAATTCATAAACAATCTCCGAGATCTTCTATTGGCAAATCCACTCACTGATGATATTTTCACCATCCCCAAGAATACTGTAAGTATAGTAGGTAGCCAAGTTTTAAGTAGTAGCTTCACGATGGTAGTAGCTTTCCTGTTTGAGTTTAAGTTAGTTTGTGTACTGTACAGGTTTCACCCTGTATTGTATTGATTGTTATCTCTCAGTTTTCACTTTTTTTTGTCTGTGTGTTTTACTGCTTTGACTATTTTCAGACTGTATGCCTTTTGTATTGCACTTCTTACTTGTACAGATTAGAATAAAATATAATTTTGTTGGCTACCTATTGAATTGTTTTTTTTTCTTAATGGAATAAAGATTTGACTTTGATCAACCCTATTATTAGCTTAGTAAGATCAATGAACAACAAAGAAAACCTTGTGTTTAATAGATTCAATGAAACTTAGCAGTTAGTTTCACCTATGCCTAGGCCAGAGGTAGCCTACCCATCCCCCCCCCCCTCCATCTTATACTGCCCTCTATTTACACCCCCCCCTCCCCAATTTACTTGGCAATTTCTCCTTACCACAAAAAACAAAGATTTCAAGTATTTAGTAAGGTTGAGGTAAAGAAAAACAAACTTGCTTACAATCAAAATGATGTTAAATAGAAAACGTCATTTAACAACACCAAATTATTTCTAACTAATGGACGGATTGGAACTTTTCAATTTAGGCCTACAATTCAGAATCTGAATTAATTGTTAACCAACATGTTCTCAGTATTGCAACAGACAACATCTTCAAAACGTTCAACAATATACTCGGTGAACTACTCTACTCCAACACAGTAGGCTACTCTATTAGGTAATGTAAATTTTTACAGGGCTTAAGAATTCAAACCACTTTAAGGTTGTTTCAAAATCAGACATAGGCCTATATTGAAAACAAAGTCACAAAATAGGGCAGACTAGGAGGGGTTGCTCACCACTTCCAGGCTGCCTTCTACGAAAATTGCCGGACAAAATAGGCTACCCACAATACCTTACCACCAGCACAGAATATTTTTGCGGCAAAGTAATCTTAGAATTCATTTTGTAATAGCCCCAGGATTGCGTTATATTACTAATGATAAATTAAAAGCTGATATTGGACTAACCTATTTTAGTGACGGAGGAGAGTTTTGAAAACATAATGGGATTCATAATTAAAAAAGGTTCAAATACCTGCTATTAAGCAATCCAAATTTGTTGTTAGAACAACTAGTTTCGGTGTCTGTGTGACACCATCATCAGGCTGCACAAGGACAGTTTTCTTTCTTCATACGAAGAGCGTCATATTTACACGAAAATAAATAAACATTTAAAGACGACACAAACACGAACACGAGACATTTATGGTAACTGATCAGTTAAGAAACAGACGACGCTAACCCGGCAGAGTTTGAGTCCAGACTGCGGGTGGTCAGTGCAGTGGTGTACGTCCGTTATCTTATCATGCCAGGTTGCGTCCTATCAATCACACCTCCCCTCTCCAGTAAACCGATGGCAGTGTCATACATATAAGATTAGACGAGAAAAATTGTTGGTCATTTAGTACATTATGGTGGTCAGATTTTACTGCCTTATATCTCAAACTCTTCCAATGTGTTAAGTTTATATCTGTCTTTACAAAAATGTAGAACATCCATATTGCTGCTAATGTTGGTATAATTGTGGCCTTGGAATATTAAATGTTCGGCAAAAGATGATGTTTGGTGGGCTGTTGACGCTTTTGGAATATGCTCTTTGAATCGTTTTGTAAAGGAACGTGCTGTTTGGCCGATGTAATATTTCGTACAATCGGTGCAATTGATCTTGTAAACGCCAGTTACTAACTGTACCTGTTATTGTATCTGTTGTAACTGGCGTTTACAAGATCAATTGCACCGATTGTACGAAATATTACATCGGCCAAACAGCACGTTCCTTTACAAAACGATTCAAAGAGCATATTCCAAAAGCGTCAACAGCCCACCAAAACATCATCTTTTGCCGAACATTTAATATCCCAAGGCCACAATTATACCAACATTAGCAGCAATATGGATGTTCTACATTTTTGTAAAGACAGATATAAACTTAACACATTGGAAGAGTTTAAGATATATAAGGCAGTAAAATCTGACCACCATAATGTACTAAATGACCAACAATTTTTCTCGTCTAATTTTATGTATGACACTGCCATCGGTTTACTGGAGAGGGGAGGTGTGATTGATAGGACGCAACCTGGCATGATAAGATAACGGACGTACACCACTGCACTGACCACCCGCAGTCTGAGACTCAAACTCTGCCGGGTTAGCGTTGTCTGTTTCTTAACTGATCAGTTACCATAAATGTCTCGTGTTCGTGTTTGTGTCGTCTTTAAATGTTTATTTATTTTCGTGTAAATATGACGCTCTTCGTATGAAGAAAGAAAACTGTCCTTGTGCAGCCTGATGATGGTGTCACACAGACACCGAAACTAGTTGTTCTAACAACAAATTTGGATTGCGTAATAGCAGGTATTTGAACCTTTTTTAATATTATTTGGCAATCCGGAGGCTAACAACTACAATGAATTCATAATTAAGTTTTTAGTTCTTAAAATGATTGACAATAACCTCCATATGCTGGATAAATGATGGTCTCGGCATTCTACATTACGGTACTGCAGGAAAGGAACTTTATTAAATAGGCCTACTTTAGAATACATAGGCCTAGTTTTAAATATAAAAAAGACATATAGGCCTAACTAGGGACAGCACACAACAATTGAATGAAAAAATTCAATTAAAACTTATAGGGATGAATCCTATTAGCCTATATTTTCAACACTCTCCTCCGTCACAACAATAGTCAATAATGCAGACGACAATCCAGAGTCCACGTTAGTCCGTCATAACCTGATTCAGTCAACTTCCAGTCCTGCCCGTGGCAATGTACAATTCGTAAATTGATAGGCCTATCTGTAATTGTTTTGTCAGTTTTGTGTTATGTTTGTAACATAGCCTATTCTGACAAAAACTACAGACCGCCGAAACATAGGCCTATGTAGCAAGTAAAATATTACACTACCGTAGGCATGTTGTTGGCGTTTATAGAGAACTAGGTACTTAAAAATGCTATTCCGGGCTGTTTATAAAATTAATACAATCATTATGACAGCTAGCAGAAAGATGTCCCCAGAAAAATTCCAGAGCACCCCTCCCCCTGGCCTAGGCTAGCCTACTCTTTTTTAATCTAGAAGCCCTAAGTATCTCTTTACAAATAGGTCTAGGCATACTTTCAGTAAGCCTGCATAACTTATTTTAAGGTTAAGATATTTTTTTCAAAAATAGGGCGATTTACTTTTTAGACATATAGGCTAGACCCTAAACTTAAGCTTCATCCCCTCCAAGTACCCTAGGCCTAGGTTTAACTTACTCAACGTTACAAGTTATGGAACACTATTGAAACCTCTAAAAACACTTTCAATTCTTAGACTTTAATTTCTAACTAACCTGAATACCAGAAATGACCCGGTATAGATGATAGGTCTAAACATAACTTAATTTTTAAAACAAATGAAGTTTTAGTCCCGAAAGTAAACAAAAACAAAACAAAACCATAACTTAACCCTCCGAGTGTCCATAGTTTAGGCCTTAATGTCCGCCTATTTTTGGCGCATTTGCAAGGTTTAATTAAAACGGATCTGAGAAGCTTAAAACAATGTTAATTCTACTGTTCTATATACCATTTTGTTTGGAAAATCATGGGCTTCAATATTATACATAAAACATAAGGAAAATTTGTTTCAAAAAAATTTTTAGGCAAAAAAAAATATTTTGGAAAATTTTCCAAAAAAAAAATAAGTTCGCGCTCAATGAAATTGTATAAATTATAGGCCTATAAATATTTGAAAATATCCACTTTGCTCTAAATTTTATGAGGATTAGGCCTACAAATAGGCCTATATAATAATATAAGGAAGTAGATTTGCAAATAAATAAGTTATGGGCAAAAAACAGATTTCAGTACATAGCGTTTCAAAGCTAAGAATGCATAGCCTAACCATAGCTAGGAATCTGGCAGATAATTTACATCAATATCACTACCTACTTCTTCAGGATTATCAACCAGCCCTTCAAAATCACTAAAATCTTCTTATAATGCACCACGTAGGCCTATATCACTACTTTTGATTTTTAACACTAAAACAATGATAAACGTAATAAAACACATCAGTCATCGGTCCGAGGGTAACCTAGCTGTTTACAAATACGCACGTCTGCTGTCTGCTACAATTATGATCGGCTCGGAGAACATAAAGCGCTTAGAGACAGACCTCTGGAGAAAGCGTAGAATAACGAAAAGAACGATACCTAACCCGATCCAGTTCAATCCGATTCAGTCAGTCATAGAGCCTTCGCCGTAAACAAAGTGTGTCGCGCGTTGATTTTTCGACGAGTGACGCTCGGAGGGTCAAGTTACTGGTACCTAATTAAAGCTATTGGTGGGTACACACTTCCACAGGCCTAAGTTATCTGTTGGCACAGACAACCGAATGAGCAATTATTGATTATTTGATTGTTTAATTCAATATATCGTTTGGTTAGTTAGGTTAGGTTAACCTTTACCTAACTAACCAAACGATATAGAAAAATAAATAAGTTATATCGATTGATATTTTCATTTGGTTGTTTGTGCCAACAGATAGGCTAAGTATGGAAGTGTACCCCTATTGGTATTTATAAGATTAGTTTAGATTTTGGACCAAAAACGTCATTTGATAATGTTTAAGAACCAGGTCCTTTCAAGTAGCCTATTCGTAGTCAATAACAAGAATAGCCTTACAAGGTCACGCCGGCCACTCTTCCTAGGCCTACACTCATCATCTCCAGTTTGGGTATTAGGCCTATAGGTTAGGCCTAAGTTTACTTGGCTTAAAATACCTACTTACATTTCTTTGGTCGCAATTTCAGAATAAAGTGCCTATTATAATAAAGGCTTACAACAACAAAAAACTGGTTGACATTTTTGGATCTTTTATGTTCTTTCACAACTGCTAGGCCTACATAGACCTAAGTTACACCTAGCTTCCTTCTATGTAACAATTTATAAGCAAAGTTTTAACGTCTAGAAACTAACCTAGAACCTAACACAATCACAAACCGATTTAAAATAGCCTACTTACTTAACTGTACCTCTTAACCAAAATGTGTACATAGGCTAAGTGTAGGCCTAAGTTAAGCATTCAGGCCTAGGCCTAAGTTTAAACCTAAAAAAATTACTGGCATTGGCATTCTTTTATAACACCGTATATGCCTAGGGCCTAACCATAGAATAAATAAACACCATGTTATATTATGGTTTAACTTACCGGTTGTTTTTATTAGAAACCCAAATCATATGGACACCAAGAGGCCTACGAGGACAAACATTCAAATCCTTTCCTTGAACAGAAATATTGGCGTTGGCTCTACTGACTGTGAACTGTAACTGTGTGGTGTGACTCACCCAGTCACCACACCATGTCAAGTCAATAGGCTTTAATTCTAGTTCTACTGTATTGACTAACCAAATCAAATCGAGTCAAAGTCTGAAAATCCTCCTCCTCAGCAATTTGCAAACAAAACAAACTCAAACTGGAAACTAACAACAAACTTCAATTCAAAACATCTAGGCTAATAATCAAATCCAAAAAGTTGGGGAAACACTGATGGATGATTCTCTCTCTGATTGGTTCTTTCTTGGTTGGAGTTTTTCTTTTTACTCTCCTCCATTGCTGCCTCCACTAAATAAGAATTCTTATTTAGTGCTCTGTGGCTGCCTCCCGTCCCGGTCCCAGTTGCACAATTTTTATTTCAGCTGTGGATTTGTAATACGGACAAAATCAATGGCGTCATTTCACCAAATCCTTGGGGAGGGGCAAACACCGGGGGGTATGGAATGGGGGAGGGGTCCGGGGGTTCTCCCCCAGAACATTTTGCAGTTTTGAAACAAAAAAAAGAGGGGTTTAAGCTTATTTCAATTGTCAAAAGCACTTCAAATAAAAACAAAATTATGAGTCAAATTTATTCAAATTTAGGAAGAAAATTAATTAAACCATAGATAAAACATACTCCCTTAGTAGATTTCTCATCCTTATGGAACAGCTGAAGACAATTTTATTGTTAGTTCTGTTCGGTTTTCTGCAGATGTCGTGTTTTGTTTACAATTTGTTTCCCGTTATTACAGCCATTTAAAACCTCGTTTAACCAAATAATACGATCTAATCATAAACAATAACTTGTCCCCTAGTTATATAACCAAACAGTAAAGCACAAATCAAGAAATTAACCCTAAAATAATATAAACAAAGTTTCGTCAACACTAGCGCCCATGTGTCACGTACATGAACTAGACACGAAAAACGTGCTTCAAAATTTACAATGGGATGAGAAGTCTACTTGTGTTGGTTAGTCTATGATTAAACTTACAATCATCGACAACAGACAGAAACATAATTATATGTTGGTAAGTTAGTCATCTAAGAAACGTGATCAATAGTTCCTTGGTGTATTAATATTATGTTTGTTATTAGATTCATGACCAATTTCTCTTGTACAACTAGGTTGTATTCATCGCCTATAGTTTATAACAGTTTATTTTGGTTTTTAAATAAAGCAAGTATTTAAGTACTTAAAAGCAAATCAAATTTTATTATCAATAAAATAATTTTACACAAAAGTACAAAAAGGTTATATTTAACTATATTAAACTGTTAGTCTACAATGTTCAAAATAAATTACGTAAAATTGATACACGTGTATAATTTAAATGCTTGAATAATTCATAAAAGTAAATGACAAAGCAATGCTTCTAAAAAGTCTGCATGTTTATGTATATATAAACTAGAAGTTAACTGTCAACTGTCATGACCTAACCTAACTAACTAACCAAACTAGCTGATAATGAAAAAATGCAGGTTTACTATTCGAAAAATAGTTCTGTTCATAAAATCAAATTATAAATGTCTTAAAATCTAACAAAAGATGTACAGTTAAGAAGTAATCGCATTCTAAGCAAAATCATTGACGAAAATGATAAATTATTTATTATTAGTTTACCTTTTGTTATTTTGTCAGTTTTTGTTTTGTTTGGCTAGGTTTGGCATTGTTACTGTTGTTTGTTATTAGATCATTATATATTGTTGATTTATTTCTAATATAAGCACAAAATTTGTATTATCAATTAAGTCATCCTGAGTTTAATGTTTTGTTTTGTATGCTGTAAAATGGAGATGTCCGTTGGAAATAAATAAATAAATAAATAAAGTTAATGTCACCTCACCTGTGGAATTCGATCTCGTTACCTTCTGCACATCAGTATGGTGCTCTTCCCATTACACCACGAACACGAACACTGTTGGCTGCCCTTCTTCTGTATAGTTGTGGTAATAATTGTGTTCCCTCATCCAATACAGTAGAATTCTCTCATTCAAAATCTGCAGCTGAAATAAAAATTAAGCGCCCCAGTCCTCCTATCCAAGAGTCAAAGACCCCACTACACTACACTACGTAGTGTAGTGGGGTCTTGTCATATCCCATTCCAAGATTCCAAGCAGGGGTTTTACATCACTGAGCTATAATTCTAACTGGAGGTAGCACTGAATGTCAAAGATGCGTGTCGCCAGCCGCCATGTTTGCGTGAGGTGTGAGTTATAAGAAGCCATATTATTGCTATGGCTATTATTATACTTGGCTTAAAACACCTACTTTGTATGGTCGCCATTTCAAAGAAAATTATTAAAGTATTAAAAGTATTCAAGTATGACAAAAATACTCACTGCTATACCAACCTAGTTATAAGAAGCCATGTTATTGCTATGGTAAGAAAACTTACTGCTATACCAACCTAACAAAATCAGCGACTCGCTTTTGACAGACTTCTGCCATGGCAGTGCTACCTCCAGTTATAATTTTAGCTCAGTGTTTTACATGGGCCCAGTTTACGCAAGGCTCATGGGACGCTCCGTGACACACAATTGCTATTGGCTCTCATGGCATGACGTCAATCTCTTCTCTTGAGAGAACACCATTGGCCATTATCGCAACGATACAGTATGTATAGAGCCAACAAGTCTCGGCGGCGGCTCTCGGTTGTGTAAGTGTAGTGGATAGCATACCAGGCTGGTGAACTGAATGTAGCCGGTTCGAATCCCATTGGAAGCACTTACTTTTTGTCAAAGATTTATAGCTTAGAATGTGGTTACTTCTTAACTGTTCATCTTTTATTAGAATTTGAGGCATTTTTAATTTTATTTTATGAACATAACTATTTTTTCGATTAGTACACCTTCATTAGATTTTTTCATTATCAGCAAGTTTGGTTAGGTTATGACAGTTTAATTTTATACCTGATTAGAAAATTATGGTAAAATTAATTTTATTATTTGTCTTAATTTTATAACTAAGTATGACGTCAAGGATCTACGGACCATCAATATGACGTCACGTATACATCCCGTGAGCCTGTTCGGAACGCGAGCCAGTTTTCCATGGGGTTTATTTGTTTTAGCGTGCTTGGTCATGTAGATTTTTACAGTATCGTCAAGGTTTAGCAACATGGTGCAGCAGTATTAATTTTAGCGAATTTCCCATATAGGGAATAACTTAATTGGGAAATGATAGTCCGATTTTGCTGGTTCGCGAACTCGTTTGAATAAATGTAGGTTTACACGTATGTACCAAATTTCATCATAATCGGATCATTTTTGCTGGAGTTATCGTGCTAACGGACACACACATATATATATATATATATATGCCTAAGTATATATATACCTAAGTATATATATATATATATATGTGTGTGTGTGTGTGTCCGTTAGCACGATAACTCGAGCAAAAATGATCCGCAACCTGAACGAGTTCGCGAACCAGCATGATCGGACTATGGGAACAGGGGTTTATGTGGTAAAAATAGGTTTTTTCCCATTTTTATCAAAATTAATGTGTTATGGAGCTTATAATTCTAAAAAAATAGTGCAACCCCCCTTGCTGTAATAATTACGGTTCCAAAGTTATTGCAACTTTTGTTTTTTTTTCAATATATATACTATCATAGATAGTTGAGTGAAAATTTAAAAACGTACGTTTTCAGGAAAAGCACTTTGCAAATTTTTTTCCCCTTTTTTCAAAACTTCTATTATTATTTTTATTTCATTAACATTTGAAGTTTCATAAAATGTCCATGGTAACGCAATATCTTTGGTATTTTTAAAAAAAAGAGCATCTTTAGTGGAGAAACACAAAATCCTGTCACGACCATAACAGACGTTTAAATGAATATTAAAAATAGTTAATATTATTTTTATAACTATGTTTTGCTATAAACTAATTTACTTTTATGACCATTATACAGTAAAAAGGTCACTGAGCTTTTGGTATCTATTTGGTCTTTCTAGAATAAAATAAATAAACTCAAAAAATTGAAAAAAGCCAATAAAATCTTTTTAAATTTGTAAACTCCAAAAAAACTTACCTGAGACCCGAAAAATCGTTATGTTTGTATAGAGCTGTGCTTCTTTTGGGTATAAAACATTGAAATATGACGATATTTTAATTTTTTTAATTTTTATGATAGAAATCATAAACGTGATGGTCAGGGACAAGCGGTACGGTCGTGAAATTTCTGAAATAATCTAAATCTTTCTAAACAATCCTTCAATTATACTGTTAGTTATAATAAAAATAAGTGTTTCAATTGAACTAAACTGTTCAAATTACAATTATATTAAAGTTATTGTCACGACCAAACACACTATAATCCATAAGGATTGGTCGTGAAAAAACCCGCGATGGTCGTGAAACTTTGGTCGTGAAATTACGTGCTATTTGGCTCTGTTCTGGCGGTAGCCCTGCACCTCATGTTCGAGGATACAAAGTGAACTTCTAGGTTAATCTAGCAATTGAAATATCTTATAAACAAAAATTAACACCATGTCTACTTCATCGAATGACTACGGTCATGGACACACCAAAATTACAAAAAACACAATCTTTCCTTTATTAATCTTGTAATTCCTCCTTTCAACTCGAAACGACCGGCACTACAATCCTGACGTAAACCCCGAACTAGTCTCTAAAACCAACTGACTCCATCGACGCCAGGCTTGCCACTGTCGTGCTCCAAAGTTGAAAATTTTTCCCAAATGGTCGTGACGCCAAATCGAGGGACAGACTTATTTTGTCATGGTAGTCAGTTTGCAATGACAATAAAATTATAATATGCTCCTTTTTTGTAAGTTTAATAACCATTGATGACCTAAAAATATGGCTTTATATATTTCGGCATGAATAATTAGTCTAAAAACAGCGTGAAAGTTGGAAAATGTACCCTGGGGACACGTCATGGTCGTGAATTTTGAGACTTTAAAAATATGAAAAAAATACCTAGAACCTATTTAAAACCAAATAAATGTGTGTAACATGTTGCCCCCGTCCCAAAAAATATTAAAACACATAATAATAAACTACAAATCCAGTATCTACGAAGTAAAAGGCCAGGGACATGAAAACGTACGTTTTTAAATTTTCACTCAGTTACTCCCACAGCTTACCCATGATTAAGGTTGTTGACAAGCTTATGGGAGAAAGTATGTGTCAGATTGCTAAAACCGTTTATTTTCATTTAAACCAAAATGTTTATGTTAATTTAAACCAAGTAGCGACAAAAGCTCAAAGTATTTGATATCAATAAATATTCTGCTATGTGGGTATGACTTTGGATAAAAATGTAGGTACTGATAATGTAATGACACGGTTAACACATCTAATATAATAGTAGGCCTATGGAAGTAAAAAATCTCTATTTGATCCAAACCTTAGACATGATCACTTTCCTAATTTTATTCTACCTAAACAATTGCCAGATTAACAGATATCAATATGAGTAGTTTTGAAATTATTAATTAATTTTTTTCTCATACATTGGAATATATAAAGGTGGACGTACCTTAAGTCTGTTTTTAGTCTTTTTAAGTAGTCAATAGATGCCTATGTTTCAAATCACACATAAAATAAAATAAAAAGTTTATGATTTTAAAATGTCTCAAATATTACACAGACACTGGCAGTTAAAAAAAGTAAGAATAGAGGTTATTATAATAAAACAAAATATCATTGTAGAATATTTGTAAATTTTATTTTCACTATAGCGCCATTAAAATTTAACAGTTTTCTACCTGAAAGCACTGTACAAAAACTGCAGCTTGTTAAAATTTTGTTTAAACAACACAAAATCATTTTATAAAAAAGAAAGAACAGTTTAAAACGTGGGAAACTATGGGGTTTTAATTGTACATGTAAATCCATCTTGACAAAATACAAATATTTGTGTTTAGATGAATCTTAATACAATATTATCAAGCACAATGATGCATTTATAATGTCTGATCACAGTTTGCATTTTGAAATTTGTTACTACATCCAAGCTACAGTGCCATTAGATTATAATGTAACATAAGGATTTTACGTCACTGCAGATAGCTGATGTGCATGTTGGAAAGTAGCTAACCGTTTTCTGGCTGCCAAACTAAGGCTTCGTTATACCATCTATTCCAATTATTTCAGATTCTATCCATACCTCTGAGTTTATTTATTTTTATAACCATTTCTTGTGTGCGAGCTTTATAACATAAAACCTAGAGAACAAACAAGAGCCTCTGTTACCTTATTTGAGCTCTTCTTATTAATATATTTTTTTTAGTTGTTGCATGACATTAATTAGTGGCCTTGTTAAAAATCTATTTAAAACTGAAATTGAGGAGAAAATATGTGCAGGAAACCTATATCACAGTTAGATTAACACAGTAATCTCAATAACAAACTTTCAATAGCAAGACACCCTTGACAAGAAGTGGCATTTACAAATACCATAGACAAAATAATTAAATATCGACTGACACTAGCACTTGACGCTGCAGCTGTGTGCGCATTGCGCCGAAACTACACGGCATTCCTAGCGGTGGACGCTAGAATATATGCTAACCGCAGCACTATGCTGTCAGTCTATATTTAATTCTTTTGTCTATGCAAATACCCACGATTTAGTGTTAGTCCTAATCTCATGTTATTGCAAACCTCAATAATAAGTCTACCTTGATAATAAGTCTTTCCCTTGAGAAATTTGCTATCGAGGTTCTACTGTATTGTGAAAATCTTTGGTTAAAACTAAATACTGGTCTGTATTGTGCTTTTGCAAAAATAGTTTAGTATAAGCGAGATTTTTATTTCAATTAATCTTAAAATGTAACCAAAGGTAACATTGTGCATTTCAATGTTTTCTTTAGCAGTTGATTCTTATTCTTGATGATGAGTAGTAGAGTTTTGTCAATCAACTCAAAACTTAATGAGTTGGTCAATACACATGATAGAAATAACATGAGACAAATTAACAAAAATATTATTAAGTTTGCAAATTTTGAATCTATACTATATTAAATATAAAAACCGTATGTTAAATAACATTTTTTGTATAAATGATAAATAATTCTTTTTGTGTTTTTGTATAGTTGCATGACTTTGCGAATATACAAGTTTATTCTGTAACTTAGAATTTACTATAGTGAATTTCACGATAATTCTAAGTTAAAATGCCAATAGTTCACACTTGTCTTAAATTAAGCAGTGTACGGTATATCACACAACTGGTCACAAGTAAACTCTCAGCTAAGGTAAAATTGAGTAAATTTGGTTTGGAAAATCTACACTACTTCATACACATGACACTTTTACAATGGCCAAACAAACTAAAAATTAAGCTATCGATGTATTAGAGTTAAGTACTAACTATTATAAACACTTGAGAAATAGAGGATTAAACTTAGACATTTACAAAAATAATGAATGATATTTTCATTTTAGAATAAACTTCTTAAGTTTAATAGGTTGATTTGGTGAAAATGAGCAATCTACACTTAAAAAGGTTTGTTTGAAAAGAAAAAAAATGTTTAGTAGTTTATTATTATGAAACATGGGATAACTTTAAGTCTGTTGATTTTTCAATTCCACCCCTTGGAAGCAGACTTAAAGATGTAAAATTTTTTTGAGCACTTCCAATATTCTGCCTCTGACGAAATATATCTCTGTTTTTAATAACATGGCAGCCAATCACATAAATCCAATAGTGAAAACCACTTTTTCTTGTCATGAGGTAGCACTTTCAGCAAACTTTTTGTTTTTATTAAAACTAAACATAAACAAAATTAATATAAAGGATAAGAGGAACACATTGAAATTCATATCATGATAAGCATGTCTTTATCATTATTATTTAACAGTTAATAAGTCTAGAACCTCTAGAACTTTATAAAATGAAACCCAGCTTAAAACCGGCTCAAGTTATACAAAGACAAAATAATTTTTGGATTTGCTCAAAGTAATTTTGTATTTTTAATATTTGTCAATTCAAAGATGATTTGACATAAAAAATGACAATTGCTATACAAAAAGTATTAAAAGTGACGGTATTTTTAAAATCTAAGTCCAATACAAAATAATGTTCTATATAAATAATTTAATAAGATATAAAGTTCAATAGTGATCACATTTCTATAATCAAGCAACTTTAAGACTACCTACGTAAGTGTACAAGTTCAAAATCTCTTGGCAAAATCACATATTAAAATCACCCAAGTCAGTTATTTAGCTTGGAGAAATTGCAAAATCAAACTACTTCTCTGTACAAAAGCTTGTCAAAGTATCATATATTAACAATTACAGTAATATCTCGCCATTTTGGTTGTTGAAAACATACTGTCAACCAATTTTACAATCGTAAGTACATTCTTTTATTAACATTGAAAAACAAGGGATCGTTATAAAAGTATACGATTTCAAAAACTTCTGTACAAATTTAGATATTTACAGCAAATATTTTGTAATTTAACTGAGTAGCTTAACACATGTGACTAAATCCAATTGTCATAAACAAATTATGCCTTGGAAACATTTGTAACAAGACAACTGTTCTTGCTTCTAAAATCAACATGCCATAGGTTATGCTTTGATTTTGAGACAGCTTTGGTAAAGACTTATGTAATTGACAGTATTTACTGGACTCTAAACGATATTCAATAGGAAATAATCTTACACAGCTAACATTACATCTAAAAACAAGGTTTATGAAACAACGAACATTACCTAAGATTGGGATTTTGATAGTATCCGTGGGCTTACCTGTTATACAATACTGCCAAATACTAGTCAAGTAATAAGAGGACCAATTTTACGGTATATGTAGTAGAAAGTATTACATGTTAAAAAGGGTGAAAAGTTCTCTGTTGTGAAGTTGTTCTTTTTTTAAATGCTGATGTAGTCCCTTTTGTACATGATCAAATCTAATCAAAATTAACCCTTTGAGTGCCAACGTCCGGGGAACCGGACGTTTTTAAAACGAGCCAAAAGTGCCGACGTCCGGCCGACCGGACGTTTTTAGAACGAGCCAAAAGTGCCAACGTCCGGCTGACCGGACGTTTCGTAATGATCGAACAGTTGTCATAACAACCGAATGGATACTCGGATTCTTTTAACCCATATATTAACATTGAGTCGAAAGTTACTAGATGCAATACATTGATTTTCGTTGGTCGAAATATCGAAAATTCGATTTTTACGAAATTTTAACCTAAAAATCGCCAGATCGCGCTCGGCATTTTTAGCGCGACCTTCGGGAAAAATCATCGGCATTTTTTGAGCGTTACTTTTATTTCTCGCCTGGCACTCTAAGGGTTAAAACTGCATGAATTAAGCACTGCTGCCTACACAACATCTTACTAAAATGCCATATTTCTTACTCATTGAAACATTTAAATAAATCAAACTAATTGATTTTTTGAAACCAGTTTTAGTGAGGATACAAGGATTCTAGATAGAACTGTCTTAAAAAACTTAGTTTTGTGTAAATTGGATTTAATCTTTCATTGTGTAATCAGCAAGCAATCACATTCATGAGGTAAGCCTACTGATCTAACCATCCTTGAATCTTAACCAAGAGCCAATACCAATGTACCATACCTGATCAAAAAACTTAATAATTTGTTGCAGTACATATTTTCAAACTAAATCAGCACATACACCTTAGCGGTAAAACTGGTGTCGAAACCTCGAAGTGGAAAATGTTTGACAACGTAACACTGAGTGTGCGGCTAGAAGGTGGTGTCGTGATCCTGGTCAGGCTGGAGGAGCGGGCTGCTCTCTCCGGAGGGGAGGGGAAACGGCATGGCGGGGGTGAGACGGGAGGACGGGGTGGATGGGGCGGAGCGGCTGAGCCAATGACGACCTCGGGTTAGCGGCATGTACAGCTTCAACCTACTGCTGCTCCCACTTCCTCCACTCTGTAACAATAAAGACTACTGTTGTATCATTGCTTGGACATAAAATTTATGTTGTGAATTGGTATCTCAGCGATGTCGTATATTTGCACTGATTTTGATCCACATAGAAGATATATTTAGCCTATGGTTGATGTTAATATGTTTTTTTTTTATTCACCAATACATTTCAAATCTTGTTCTGTACTATGGGTCACCCATACAGCCTAAAAATATTATAGTTACTCCCATCCCTTACTCACAGAGTTGTTGACAGGCAAGTCAGGGCCACTTTTTAAATGAGGGGGGGGGGACAAATGCAAGATTAAAATTGGCCACCTGGATATTTTAAAATATTTTGAAAACATATTGGAATATGCCTGTATTCCATAAACAATTACTTAAACAAACAGCTAAACCACTCCGGTATTTTAATGTGATTATGCTGAACGATTAGACTATAGATAGGTACCCTGACACAAAAGGGTATCCTTTTCAATATACCTTTAGAGGATGAGAATCGTAGAGTAGGCCACTTTGGTAGTTTTACTCAAGGTATATTTACAGCGCAAAGCCAACATTGGGTGATTGGATATTAAATAATAACAGTTCATAGTATTGAAGATCAACTGAACTCCTGTTTGACCCATCCAATAATATCTACCCTAGCATCATACCTGGTGGTGGGGCAACTGGTTGATTTTGTGCAGAAGTTGCCGCACCTCCAACGTTGGAGTGGTGGCTTGAGGGGGGGAGTCCAAGGGTAGGGGGCCCAACCCCCCTACAGAGCTGACAGCTGATAACCCCCCTGGAGCTTCACATTGGGACATCAACACACAGCTGTGCGCCTGACAGGAACTCAGTGACTGCAAATAACACAGTAAAAATCAACTGGAAAATGACAGTCATCAGTGGTGATTGACCACACCAAAGTAAAAATCCAATTCATCTAGTAAATCCAATCGAGCTTAATATAATGCATAAAGGTACAGAAAGTTCAAGTACCATCACTAGGGTTGTCAGGGGAGTTAAAAGCTCACTGCATGACAACAAATATGTTTACAGTGGTGTTGATTGCATGACTGCCTCCCATAAGACTTGTACTGCAAGGTAATCATGGAGAGGAATATACTCTTCACCACTGAACAGCATCATGATGATAACAACTTCAATGCAGGAGTTGATAAATAATGTTGCATTGCAAATTTCAATTACGTTACTTAAGCGAGAATAATACACCTGTATTAAATGGAATAACCTTATTTGGGAAAGAAAATAAGGTAGAATCCTTCCAGCAGTCCGTTGATGAAAGACAGCTGAATTAAGATTCGGTCTACTGAAAACCGATACACTTTTTTGACAGCTGGGTAGAAAATATTTGACTAAACGAAAATATCAAAAATGTTGTAACTACAACAAATTAAGTAACGCATTACCTGGTCAAAGGGTGTGTTGCTGGCTTGAATCTGATCTACACTATCAGGAGCGCTGGAGTAGGGAGGGGGAACCAGACTGTTGGCCTATAACATAAACAGTCACAGTAACATATCAAATTCAAATTTTCAATCTCTGTTTGATATTCTTACCTTACCTACTTGGCCACTAAAAACATAAGCAGATTTTTTTCATCGCCAACATTGTCCCTCCAAATTCCCATATAGAGAATAAGCAATTTTTTTTAACCTTCCCTATTGGAGGTGGAATCACTACCGGTAGCGTTTCAAGATATTTTTTAAAACAGGGACCCCTACTTGGCATATTTTTTACCTCAATGTGTGTTTAAAATGGGTATGGATTATTATAAGTAGAATAATATCTTGTGCAGTTTTTAGTTGATGGATTAAGCCCACCTGTTACTGTAGTAGGCCAAAGCCATATGTCTCAAAAGATTATTTTTAGGTCCATAAAAACTTACATTTGGAAATTAAAATAAATGCATGTTAATGTAAATAGGGTGATTCCTAATTTTGCTTTTTGTTTTTCTAGGATTTGGCAAAGAACAACAGACTTGAAGAAACTAGGAGTTAATTTACCGAAAACGGTATAATTTGGATTTATATTTATAAATATAATGCAAAACTTAAAAGAATAAATAAAACAGAAAGAATACATTGGTTGTTAAAAGATACTAAGCGGTACCTACCTCATTTGTGGCGTTACAGAAGAGGCTGGAGCTGAGGGAATCTGCAGTGCTGGTTGCTGATAGGGATCCTGCACAAATAAATACAAATATCAGAACATTGCAGTAATTTACTTCTCCAGATATTTTACAATTCTCTCTCTCTCTCTCTCTCTCTCTCTCTCTCTCTCTCTCTCTCTCTCTATGTCCAGCATCTGGTGCTTTGCGGGGATACTTGTTTGTATGGTCACTTGTGGGAACTCTGCCATTTTTAGTGTTAGAAAGAATCCAGTGAGAGAAGATTGTTAGATAAAATTTTAGCAGTTGTTTTTTGTGGCCCTCTCTCAAAAATTCGTCCATTTACCAAGTGCCGATTTTTGTCCTTGTGGGGCTATAACGGTCACTATGAGAGAGGATTTACGAGGATATGTGAGAGGAATTAGTGGGGATATAAGAGAGAACATTCAGAGGATATAACGGTCATTGTAAGAGAGGGCATAGTGAGGATATGTGAGAGGGATATGTGGGGATATAAGAGAGGAATTTATAAGGCTATAAGAGAGGAGCATGTGGGGATATAAGAGAGGAATTTATAAGGATATGAGAGAGGGGCATGTGGGGATAAATGAGAGGGTTTTGTGAGGATATATGAGGGGGACTTGTGGGAATATAAGAGAGGACTTTATGGCGATATGAGAAAAGAGTTGATAGTTCTACAGTTACTTGGGTTTGTGCGATAGTGATTATCCAGGAGACACAAGAGAGGGCGTTATGAGGATATGAGAGCGGATCTTGTGGAGATATACAAGATAGATATTTGTGGGGTTATGTAGGCCTATAAATAGTTTTTGAGAATGTTAGACGGTGAAATAGGATACCAAGTAACTTTCAATGGATATAAGAGAGGGATTTGTGGGACTGTAAGAGGAACTTTACGGCGATATCTCAGAGGGTTTTGTGGAGGTATGAGAATGAAATTAGGAGGACACGTAAAAACAGTTCATGCTAAATGTTTAAGGGTAATATAATTAATTGAATGGTCTTAAGAAATTATTCAAACACTAGACTAATGATTTATCACGCTTTATTTTCATCAATTTTACAGTATGGAACAGTATGGAAAAATTCAAGCTTTGGGGCGTCACCTCTGGTTCGTATCAACTTTTTAAACTTCAAAAAATAATACTTAGAATAATGTTTTCAAACCCGTAAAACATTCTTGCAAACAACTTTTTAAAGAACTAAAAATTCTAACCGTCCCTAATTTGTATATTCTTAAATGTTTATTGTATGTGAAATCAAATTTCGAAAAACTCCTCAGTGAAAATAATCGGCACAATTATAACACTATATTTAATAAAGATTTTCAATATCCTATACACAGATCAAATCTTGTGGAGAGGACACCTTCTTATATGGGTAAAAGATGTTTTTACTATTTGCCTGGGTTCAACGAATCAATCATAGGATTAGTATCTTTTAAGGAAACATTGTTTAGTTTTTGTTGGAAAATAATTATTTTAGTATAGATCTGTTTCTCGAAGACAAATCTATGTGAATTGTTTTTTTTTTTACTATGTATTTATTTTTACCAATTAGCTAGTTTATCTTAGTATAGTTTGACAATGTCGGCTGTGCCAGAGCATTTGAAAAAAACGTTATGTGACAATAAAGATGACTTTGACTTTGTATAAGTATAAGCAATGGTTTAAATAAATATATAAAAAAATTACCATGTATACATACATGAATATTCATGTCCGTACCCCCGTCATTAATATTATGTATGTGAGGCAAATGTTGACACCACTTTACCTGGAATATATTCTTATATTCCTTAGACAACGTTATAACTGAAGATTTAATTATAAGTTTTATAAAATTTCGGATAAATGTATTTTAATGTGCATACAATTTGTTCAATAGTAACATACAGTATTTTCATCATTTTTATGTTGATATTATATAATTTCATATGCAGGTTAAATACGCACCATCTGAGATCCCTGTCTCAGATAGTGTTATAATGCTATTCATAAAAGTCGTCACTTCAAGTTGATACCGCAACATAGTGTTATCATTCATTGTGGTGTTGAGCTTAACTTGTTGTAATTAAACGATTACAATAGGCTTGCATTCAAGCATGGCCGCCTCCAAAGAAGGCAATGTGGTCTTTGAGCTTGCAATACTGCAATCCCAGTCACCCCATCATGACACCATCAGGTGCTTTTTTCTGCAACCCATATTTCTGTAGATATTTTTGCAGGAAACTCACATCGAACCAGCCAAAAAAACTTTTGTGGTGTTGCTAATTCTAGATGGCGTGAAAGCCTAAAAGTCCATTTGTTATGGCTTCAAAAGTAACATTACTTGATTTATCTATTCTTGTTTCTAATCAATGTAAGTGTCTATTTTTTCCAGTATAGCAAAGAATGACCTTTTTTTATTACTGGAGTGTATAGTAGTAGTTGTAACTAGAGTTATAACAGTTTTTATAATTAATATTGCAACATTCAATAAACATAAAAAAACTGGATTTAATAATAAATATTTATACTACGTCATACATTTTTCATATTTTATGTCATATTTTGGAATATAATTACGTTTTTAATATTAAAATAATAATCATCAACTACTTTTTATACTTATGTAATTTACTGGTTTATGTCGTTAAATTCTTTTGTTATTGAAGTAATTTGTTAAACTGCATGGACAAATACGACATCATGAAAAATACAAGGTAACTAGACTGTTTATTCAAACCGTCTGAAAACATGTTAATAATGTTTGAGATATTACCAGATTACTCTCTAAGGATTAAAATAAAACATTTTCTTTCAAAAATCATTATTGTTTTTTTTTTTAAATTACATTATTAATTAAGTATAATATATACAAATAGTGTAGTATATTATTAAATAAATTGCTAAAACACTGTGGCATAAAAATATACTGACAAACAATACAGTAATGTAAATTGAACTTAACCTAAAAATTGGGAATAAAGTATAATCATCTTACTATAGTAAAAATAAGTAAAAATTTTCAGTGTAGCCCTTCAGAAAGTAACTATAGAATGTACCGGTAGAAATTTAACAGAAGTATTAAGTTTCAACTATTAAACTGTATAAATAATAACTTTCAAAAGATCTAAGGGCACAAAACAATAATTTTAATAACGTAGTGTTTCTTGTCTGTATTGCAACGCTCACATTAATTATTCAGATGTCTTTTGGGGTTAGTAAAACGTTACGCATGTTTGTTGTGAACTGTTTGTATATTTCATCGTTTGACAAGCCCCAAAAACATCTTAAGGACCGAGGCAATTATTGCTTAATGTAAGAAGAAAATAATTCTCTCCTCTAAAAGACACGTTTAGAATAAAACCTAAAATGGTAGTGGTAGAAAATGGTCGTACAAACATAAAACATATCAATCATAAAACCCTAAGGCTTATAAGCCATTGAAAACCTTTGTAAATAACAGTAAACATTACATTGGGTGTTTAAATTCATAAACAAATTCAACTCATACAATGCAGCACCACGAAAAACGACAGATAATACCAACATTTTAAAACTGGCATTACAAATAAAACAACTAATGTGATAGTTTAAACATTACTGTTGGTGTTTAAATTCATAAACGAATCATACATTGGAGGACTATGAAAAACGACAGATAATACCAACATGTTTAAACTGGCATTATGGATAAGTTAAAAATGATACAACACAGTAAAAACAACTAATGTGATAATTTGTTCAGGCTTTTCTGTGTTCGTTCCTGTACTATTGCGTTTACCTTTCATTTGATCTTCAGGTAATTTCCTATTCCTTGCAGCTCAGGAAATCTCTTTAAACGTTCTTCGCACCTTTTTTTTGGTTGGAGGTCTGTGTTAAAATTGAATCAACTATTCTTTAATAACACTCACACAATAATAACTTTTATTTACTTTTTTATCATAACAAAACTAGATATATAACATATGATTTTATAAAACAGGTAATAAGTAAATTGGATGATGTTGTAACTCCAACACACCCTCTCAACATCATGCCTAGTAAAGTCCTAGGTAAAAGAGTGATCTTTTAAACACTTGCCCTAGAAGTGGCTTTGTTAAAAGGTCCGCTTGATTATTTTCACTTGGACAGTATTCCAGAAATACTTCGTTCTTACTTATCATTTCTCGGACGTAATGTTTTCGAATATCTAAATGTTTTATTCTAGCACTCATCTTTTCATTTTCAATAAACTTGATACAGCTCTGATTGTCTTCAAATATTACTGTAGGATTTTCTTGGGGGAAACCCATATCTTTCAACAATAGTCTTAACCACACTACTTCTTGAGTGGCTAAGCTTGCGGCCATGAATTCAGCTTCTGTTGAAGAAAGAGTGACATTGGTCTGTTTTTTGCTAATCCAGTTTATAGTGCTGTTTCCTAACTTGTACATCATTCCGCTGATTGATTTTCTATCTGCTAAATCACCCCCCCAATCAGCATCTACATAGCATGACAATTTCAATTCTTTTTCCACCCCTAATTTTAATTTCTTGTCAATGGTACTTTTCAGATATCTTATTATTCGCTTTACAGCATTCCAATCACTTTGGGTGGGTTTTTCAACTCTTCTAGCTAGAATTCCAACAGCTGACAAAATATCCGGTCTTGATGTCACTGCAAGATAAAGAAGTGATCCTATTGCCTTCCTGTACATTTTGTTATCTGGCAGATCTGGTGACATAGCTGTTGAGTTGATAAATCCAACTTCCATTGGTGTTCTTGCTGGTTTACTGTTTTCCAGTCCATGTTCAATTATGACTTTATTTATTTTTCTTCTTTGGTGAATGTAAAAGTCTCCATCCATCTTATCAATTTCAACTCCTAAGTAGTTGTGAACAACTCCTAAGTCTTTCATTTCAAAGCATTGTGTCAGTTTTTGAAATGTTTTCTTGACATTTTCAATTGATCCAACACACAAAATGTCATCAACATGAACCACTACATATGTATAATTTCCATCAGTATTACTCGTATATAAACAAGGGTCAGAATTGCTTTTTTCAAATCCCATGCTCATCATTGT